ATTTTAAAAGAGGTGTAATGATTAAAAAAAAATACAATATTTTAATCCTATGCATACAATTTGCTTAAGCCTGCATAAGATGAAAATCAATGTTTAGTCTTCTTATTCTCAATACAAAAATTCTGATTTCAATTCCTTAATTTAATTTTAAAACTTAATTTGTTGAGAACTTTCCTACCTTGGATCCATAAACAGAGTGCTGTCTTCTACTCTTCTTAAATCCCTCCATCCCTCAAAAATTTGAAATCAAAAAATCAAAAAAAAAATAGATTACATTTAAAAAAAGTTATATTATAATTTTACAGGTTGATTTTTCGAGGTTTCCCTTTGGCTCTGCAAAAAGATAAAATTCTAAACTTTAGAAAATTTTGAAAATTTAGTAAAGAATTTACAAATTTATGTTTAAATGTTGTAAAATATTTTTTTTTGCAGTTCCTTGTTTTTGTTCCGCTAGTTTTCCCATTTTGTTGGTGTCCCTTCTCACACTTGTCCTGAGGTAGAGTTACAGGATTAAATATTTAGACTTTCAAACAAACATTTTTTTATCTATATCTATATTTATATAATAGATGTCTCTGTTTGTCTGGCTCACTGTCTGTTATTTTGTTTGTATAAGCTCATTTACCAATTTGCCTCAAGTTTTGATTGGGGAACTTGGTAGAAACACGAGAATGTTCTTGAATTAAACAATCTAGTTTAATTGTAAGTTTAAAGCGTTCTTTTTCTTCAAAAATGATTAAAACTAAATATGGTTAGTTTGTCAAAACTATACGTTGAACACATCTTCTCAAAAATCTTCTTAAAGGAATTGTCATTAAGGAGCTGATTCTTTTTGGCGTACCTGTTTGCCTTAAATAGTCTGTATATGTGTATTGTACAGCTTGCTTAAGCTACATTTAGCTCACCCCAGTCTTAAAACTGCATGAGCCTTGCCGGTACAACACGTGCTGTACATGCAGTCCGTTGTACTGTCCAGTCAGACTACCCAGTGTAGAGTTAACCCAGCAAGTTTTATGCAACAAATGTAGCCTGGCAAGACACGGTGGACTAAGCCAGTGGGGTCGGTCAAATAGGCCTAGGATTAGGCCGGGTACTGTAAAGTCCGAACGCGCCATGGGAGTTGTCATAGTTAGCCCTCCGACGGGACTATGCCAAGAAAATTGACCCCTGTCGTATGTTAGTCTGGTTAGGGCGAAGTACTGTACCATAGGATTGGGTCAGTACATGCTGTTAATTGGCATCCAAGTACAAACTGGGCAGGTCCTGTACGAATTCAAATTTACTACGGCCCAGAGTGAAGATCACAGTGAGCTGCTTTAAAAGTCGGTACGGTACTTGGACACTATGATCGATCTTGCCAGGCTACATTTGTTGCAAAAAACGCGCTAGTCGACTCTACACTAGGAAGTTCAGACTGGACAGTATACTTTGTACCGGTACAGATAAAGCAGCTTATAAAGGTGTGTGTGTGTAATGAATCGGAGATTACAGTGCTGTCAGCATACGCGATATTCCATGAAAAGATGGGAAATCCCAATTTACAACGGTACCCTTTGACTGATCATCGAGGGCAGAGAACTTTGTGTGTTTTTCTCGTAAACATTGTTCATATTGTTGAAAAATGGATTGCAGTGTACGCGCGCTAACGTAACGTTTTTTTGAAAATTTTTTTATTTTAAATCCCAAATATTCTACAGAGGTCGTCATTTATATTAATACAATGAAGACGACTTTTCTAATTAAGTATTTTCCAAGTTTACAAGTGAACAAAGAAAAGAGTTATTTAACGGCTTCTTTTTGTTTCCATGTTGTATGTGTATCCAGAATGTTTTAAAGCTTAGTAGAAATCAAAATCTGAAATTGAAAGTCGTCTTTTTTTGTATTGACATATTCCATGATGACTGCATGTTCAATGTTGTTTGCAAATATTTATTAGAAAGTAAATATTAATATAAAAAAGTTTACAAACAAGGTGTTAAAGTATTAAACAAGAACAAGCTGTTGATTAATAAATAAATACATAAATGTTGATTCACTAAAAATATATCAAATTCTATAAAAATGCTGGCATTGCAATTGTATTGTAAAAACTATGAATTCTTTTTTTTCTTTTCTTATCAATTAAAAATGACTGTAGACATAACTTCAAGGAACCCTCCATTTATAAAATGTCATGTCCAATCTACAACCTATGTTTGGTCAGGAATGTCATGTCTAATCTACAACCTATCTCTGCTCAGGAATGTCATGTCTAATCTACAACCTATGTCTGCTCAGGAATGACATGTCCTATCTACAACCTATGTCTGCTCAGGAATGTCATGTCCAATCAACAACCTATGTCTGGTCAGGAATGTCATGTCTAATCTACAACCTATGTCTGCTCAGGAATGTCATGTCCAATCTACAACCCATGTCTGCTCAGGAATGACATGTCCAATCTAAAACCTATGTCTTCTCAGGAATGTCATGTCCAATCTACAACCTATGTCTGCTCAGGAATGTCATGTCCAATCTGCAACCTATGTCTGGTCAGGAATGTCATGTCTAATCTACAACCTATGTCTGCTCAGGAATTTCATGTCCAATCTACAACATTTCGATCTAACGGTCGTGTCGAAGTTTCAAGAAAGCCTCGAGATGAACCCAACTACTCCTCTCCACGAGGATTCAAGCAACCTTCCTCCTGAAACCCCTCATCAGGAAGCTCAGAGATGTACAAGAAACAATCCTTGCAAGATGCAAGATTGTACCACGTGCCCAACACCCACCAACCATGTTCGCGATCTAACCGAGGAAATGGGAATCGATGATCCCATGCCAAACCTTCCGACCTCCTCCGGCCTCCCGCTTTTAAAACTGCAATCAAGGAGAATCAAATTCATATTCTGAAGGGCTTATCCAAACAATTCCTACACCAAGTAGACACCAACCTACAGTTCTTCATGTACGATCACTCCGACCTCGAAGCCTGTTACCAAACCGCAAATGACATCATCAACTCCCACTCCACCACCACTGCTGATCCCCCCACCCTCCTTCAACAACCTCGCGCCAGTTTCAAACCTCCCAAGCTTGATACACCTGCCTGGAGCGGCAAGTCTGCAGATTTCTACCCCTGGTTGTCGACCATCCTGAACGGGTTCAACCTGACTCAAGCTGAAGATAATGTTAAAGTGGCTCTCACTCAACAAGCCATCCCTCTTGCTAAACTAGGACCTTTCAACAACATCATTGACTGGCCCACCTTCAAGATCAAGCTGATAGAAGAGTTTGGAAGCATTGACATTTTTGGGAGAGACGTCAACCAAACATTCAACCTCCTCCCTCTTTACGAGTCTGTCCAGGAGGTCGCTGAAGATCTTTCACCAAAAATCAAGACCCTGCAAGCCAACCTGGAGATTATGCAGAACTTTCACGACAAGGAAGACCTTCACAGCGTTGCCCTCACCCAACACCTGGTGCAAAACATCATGAAGAGCCTGCCGCCAGAGGTGAGACCATCCTTCAACGATCAGTTCTCCAAGTTCCGTAAACAGTGTCCAGCCAATGTCCGACCTCCAGCCACCTTTGGGTTCCTCACACAGTTTGTGGAAGACTTGGAGAAGAATTACCGATCCACCCCTTATCTCTATGACCTAGATTCCTCTCCTCTAAACATTGGTGTCAATGTGGTAAGAAAAGGAACCTCCAAACCTAATCCTCAGCCTCCGAAGGTTTCTGGCTCACAACCTCGCCTCCCCCCAAGACCTTGTGCCATGTGTTCAATTAAAGGATTCGAAGCTAACCATTTCTCCCTCTCCAGCGTCTGTGGGACCGGCAAGTTGAGCTCACCCGAGATCCTCAAGTTGATTGCCGACAACGGCCTCTGCTTTACATGTGCTCAGGCTCATTACACCCCCGGCTTCAAGTGCAAAACTACCTACAGCAGCGGTATGTCCAAAGTGTGCCCCAAGGGTTGCTTAGAGAGAGGGATCCCCGTAAATAAGAAGGCCTGCATGCATAACAACCAGGCCCCCTTCATCTCCGTCTCCAAGGTTGGCGCCGACAGGTCAGTTCCCCTGGTAGAAACCATACTCCTGGACAACACCCCAATAGGGATCCAATATGACACAGGTTGTCAACTCAGCCTCATTTCCAGATCAGCCCTCTCTAAAATCCCTCAATCGATGTACTCCCTCGGGAGTTCTTCTCAAGTAAAGATTGCAACCTATGCTGGCGAAGGCAAAGTAGTACTCACCACAGCAGTTAAACTGAGGATTCAGGGCAAGACCCTGAAGTTATCCACAATAGAGGAAGACCTCAACAACGGGTCGGCCTTCTCCTTCACCATCCCACTCAAGTGGAGGAACCTCACGAAGACCTCAACATCAAATCATGACGGTCATGTATCCATTTTACTAGGGGGAGATAATCATCGTTTCTTTCCTACTGAAATTGAACGAGATCCCTTGGGAATGGCACTCTACCAGAGCACCATCACCAACAACTGCATGGTCTACGGCGCGGTCCCCTCCAACTCCATCACCTGGTCCGAGTCCCCCCTCGCCAACACCAACAACACCGTCATCATCAACGCGTTGACAATACAAGACATACAAGATCAACTCCTCCTCCTCACCTCAGCCGAAGAGTTCACCACCCCTTCCAATTGAGAACAGCTCCTCAAGATCACCAAGGAGAAGAACATCCAGGCCATCATGGACAACACTGTCGTGGACCCCGTCAAGGGCAAGGTTCAGGTTAATTGTCTCTACAAACCAAACCTTTCAAGTCTCGGCGAGAATTATTTTGGTGCAACGAAGAGAATCCATGCCCTTCATGTTAGAATTGCTGACAAACCTGAAATTGCGGCAGAGATGGATAAATATATCAATCAACAAATCAACAATGGAAACTACATTGAGATTAACCCCGAGGACTACAGAGAACAATATCAACTACATTTTGTGGCCTACAATTTCGTTGTGTCTTCCACCAGCTCGTCCACCAAAGTTTGAATGACCACGGACAGCTCCATGCGCACCGAGACCGGCCTCAGCCTCAACGACGTCTCCCAGCCAGCCCCAGGAAATGTTCCCAACATGAGAGACATTCAAAAGTTCTTCAGGTCCGTGCTCACTTCTACCAAGGACTCCTTCCTCAGAATCATGTGTGTTCCGTCAGGTTTCTTTTCAAGTGCTCCTACTCTTAACCCTACCTGGAGATACTTCCGAGATCAAGCGATCCCTTTCGGCGACAGCGCATCTGGCGACTATGCAACTTGTGCGAAAGTTGCTACTGTCAAGACATTCATCACAGATTCCCCCCCCCACCTCCAACCTGCCATCCTCCAAGCTATCCTGGAGGACACATATATTGATGACGAAGGTGTCGGTGCCAACTCTCCAAGCGAACTCACTACTCTGCAACAAGAAATAGAAAGGATCCTTAACAGAGGGGGATTCTCTATTAAATCCTGGGAAAAATCTGGTGAGAATGGAATCAGCAAGTACTTGGGCATGACGTGGGACAGAGTTAGGGACCTGTACAGCCTGAAGTTTCGCCTCAACCTCCACAAGAAGTCCCGTGGGATTCCATCCGGTGCGGATTTAGACTCAGATTTCTTGCGAGACGAATCCGTCCCTGTCACCAAGAAAAACATCCTATCTGTTGCGTGTCAGTTCTACGATCCCTCAGGATTAGCTGCTCCCCTCATGTTCTCAATCCGAGCCCTGTTTAGTGAGATCTGTTGTGATCCTCAGTGTTTCATCAACTCAATTCTGTCTGACGAACGAACTGCTAGGTTCAGAGATGCGGTGAGAGAGATCTTACTAACCAGGGGAATATTTTTCTCCAGACAGGTCATATTCCAATACCAAGCTCAACTCTTCATTTTTTTCGACGGCTCCCTACAGGGTTATGGAGCTTGTGTATATGCTCACTCCGGCGATCAGTTCAATCTCCTCTCCAGCTCCTCAAAGATATTGGGAAAGTCTGCATTCTCCGCTCCACAATCTGAAATGGCAGGAGCACTACTCGCCTCCAGGATGGAACAAAAGATAAAGCAAGAGTTGTTCAACGTCTCCCTTTCCCCTCCTACTTTCATTGGAGACTCAGAGATCGTCTTAAAGATGATCGCTAAAAATGATCCATCTGGAAACCCTGTATTTTATGGAGTCAGGTTGATGGAAATCCTAGCAACGTCATCACCTGACAGCTGGTTCTGGTGTCCCGGAAACCTCAACCCAGCTGACCTGCTCACCAGATCTGGAACCAGCTGCGCGCAGGTCAACTCAGAATTCTGGTTGAACAGTAGTTTCTTACCTCAGGATAAATCCTCATGGCCCATCACAGTCTGTTCTTCCATCACCTCAGGCGAAATTCCCACCAGGTCGGTCAACCTCGCTAGATTAGCCCCGAACCATCCTTCCCGGGAATATATTTTGAGTCTTTTGCATCACGAACAGAGCCTCGCCACTGTTATCCGTGCTCTGAATCTCCTCCACAAAGTTTGCAGATCCTGGAGAAATGACCCCAATCCTATTGCTACCTGGAGTTCCATCAAATCGTCCATCAAGTCCTCTGTCCTCAAGTGTTTTACCACGGAGTCGGAGCTCAGTATTGCCAACAACAAGATGAAACACCTCTTTATCCAACTAGTGGACGGAGTATATTATGTGTCGGACCCAAGTTTCCGTTCCAGAATCGGGGTTCCCCTCATCTGCAAGAAGACCATCCTAGCCAAATGCATCCTGAATGATGCTCATGCTGATCTGGGCCACGGTAGAGATGTCCTCCATGTGCTTACTCACATTCAATCCAACTTCTTCATTCCTGGTATTCAAAAGATGATCACGGCTCTGAAGAAATCTTGCCCTGGATGCATCAAACTGAACTAGGTTCCATTTGCTGCATTTGAGGCTGACGTCCCTGATGTCCTCAAATCCATCCAGCCTCCTTTCTCCTACTGTCAAGCTGACATTTTCGGACCCGTCTTTGCTCACAAAGACGGTATCAAAACCAAGAGGTGGATCCTGGTCATTCTCTGTCTTTCCAGTCGCGGGGTGAATCTAGAGGTCCTACATAACTACAGCTCCCAGAGCATCACCAGAGGATTTAACAGAACTTTCGCCCTGCGAGGCACACCTCGCATCATTTGGATTGATGCTGGTCTCAACATTGTTAAGGCTGGCAAGGACCTAGTTAACACAGAGATGAAGGTCATCTCCGACCTCAATCTGAAGTTCACCTCCATCGAATTCAGAGTTACTCTTCCCAAACACCATGCCGGTATCGGAGCAGTTGAAAGAATAGTCGGCTCTATTAAGAACACAGTCAGCAAGTCACTCGTCGGCCCTCACCAGCTGACAATGGACAACGAGGAATTGCTCACCTGGACACATGGAGTTATTGAAAAACTCAACAACCGACGTCTGATCCTCAGAGCTCCACTGGGAATCACCCTCACTCCCAACCACGTTCTCCAGGGGTTCAGAGAAGGTTACGGAGACGAAGTCAACCCTGTTGCTCCTATCAACCAACAGATCTCCAGGTGGAACTTAGCTCTCAACATGTTCCACTCACTATGGGAGCAGGAATATACTCGACGCAGATTCACTGTCACCTGGAGGAACCAGGGCAGCCTTCCCCAGATCGGAGATATAGTCCTGTTCAAGAACGAGCCCATATACAAGAATCCTATTTCTGCAGCCAGGGTGGAACAACTCCTTCGTAGANATTCCAGGAAGAGATTCAGGGGAGAAAGCAGGAGCAGGAAATCTAGCTCCAGCTCCGAAACCCAGACCAGAGCCTACACAGGATGAGTTCCACCCAGATCTCAACAAAATCAATCAATAGAACCATACCCAGCATCAACGCAGGAATCAACTATTTAAACATTGTTGTGTGTATTTGCGGCCGAACGGAAAGGAATTATCTGGACTGAATTTAGTTTCCTCCCCGGAGTTCCGACGGGCCTTTTTTGATCCAAATTCATCTAGCGTGTTGCTGTTATCTGTCAACAATGGTACAATTTGACTCGAAATGTGAATCCTTGTACTATACCAGTTCAAATCACGCAATGCGTACTGCAAAGTGCATTCTGCAAACTGCATAGTGTATAATGCAACTGCATGGAACTGAAAATAATAATAATAATAATAATAATAATAATAATAATAATAATAAAGACAAGCAGTGTAAATAATCATGCGAACTTTAAAACAAGGAAAGTTGTAATATTAAAGAAATGGGCAGTATGAATATATTGAATAGCAGACACTGTCCACTGTCCAGTGTAAATATTAACTAACAGACATTGTCCGATCTGAATATTAACTAACAGCCATTTTTCGATGCAAATTTTGATGAAAATAGAAAATAAACAAAAACAAAAAATTATCAATTTTTTTATCCAAATAACTCTCATCCAAGTTTTCCTGAATACTTTTATCCAATTCTTTGCCAATGGTTCTTAGGTATTCTGAATCCTAGAAAATAATGTTTATAAATAATTAATAATCTTGAGATTTTAAATATTTGATCTTCATTTCTTAAAAACATTTCAAAAATACTATTCGGCGGCACTTCTCAGAATTTAAAAGAATCAAAAGTATAAATTTCTGTATCAAAAACTCGATTCGATTGCATGAAATAAAACCAATTAGCTGGAGTTAGAGGGCGTTTTTTTCAGAAAAAAAATTATCCATCCTGTTTAAGGATTGCCAGGTTGCTACTTTGTACCTTTAAAGACGGATCAGCCCTTGAAGAGCAATATTCTACAGGACAGAACAAAAATTCTGGAAAGCCTAGGCCGGACCACAAATTGTTAGAAACCTGAAATAGATCAATATTAAGCGAGATTAGAAAATGTGCATTGTACATGTACTTTGTTTAAAAATTGTCTGGAATGTTTAAGTAAAAATATTGCAAAAAAGAAGAAAAAAGATCATTTGAAACTGAAAACCATAAAATATATATGTAATACAGTTGTATTATGTAAACAATTGAAAAGTAAGTTAACTAAACTGCCTTTATTAAACAGACCTTCAAGAGAGCTACTTCTTGGCTTGGGAATAAACGTTTTGTTCTTGTAAAGACGTGAATATTCGATCCATTGGAAAAATGGTGCCAATAATCAATAAATCATCTGTTGTCCCATCCTAGCACTTGAAAGAAGTTCTCCTGCAACTATTAAAAAAAGGGGAAATACCTCGCAATGAGCCTGTGCAAACGAGTTAAAATGTTTTGAATCATCTTCGCTTAGTTCAGGTTCAATATCGTCCCATAGAATGGCAAACCCTTAAAATATATTTAATGAACACTGAGGCCGAATTTAAAGAATTTGAGCAGCAGCTTAAATTTAAGCCACGGCTCAAATATGGTTAGTTACACTTAAAATTCTATTCAATGTGTCAAGATTTATGCCTGCGCTCAATTGAAACCGGTTTTAGACGGATTTAAGGTGCAACTCAAAATCATTAAATTCGGACTCTGATCAAAATTCTTATCCAAACATTCTTAAACCAGTTGTGTTGTTATAGAGTGCACAGTAAACCTAGTTTTTCAAAATGTAATCAACTATATTATATTTGTATCTTTAAAAAGCAGACATTTACATAATTATTTCTATTTAATTAACCGAATTAGATCAAAACTCTGAATCATTTTAGGAAGGTTCAAAGCTGACAGACCACAATTTGGAAATCCCAGTAAGATCAAAAACAGTTAGACGTCGTTTATTAGTACCTCAACTGAGTTAGACTTTAAATATAAAAATAGTTGTTCAATGTTAACCTTTACAACCGAGTTTTTGAATTTGTTTCATCTTCTCCAGAAGTTTGTTCAATTCCTCTTTCTTACTTTTCACAGGAAAAAATAAGTGAGCTACTAAACTTATTGATTGTAAAATTAAAAGCGAATGTGTCATAAAAATCCATTTGATGTTAAAAGCACATGGAATAATCTACATTAACAATAATCAGTTCTTTTTACAATCACATTTTCGTGAAATGTCTTCCTCATTTTATCTAAATTTCAATAAGGTATTTCTCTCCAAAATATTTTAAAAAATGTGTATTACTTTTAAGATGTAGCAAAATGGTGTGGCAAATTTTTTCATGTTCCTGTATGCCATATCTAACCCTGGTGAAATACCGTAGATAAACAGTACATTGTTTTCACTAAAATTAAAAGCTTATTTGGACATTGCAAGGAAGGAAAAGAGAAACAGAAAACAAAACAATCAAAACTTTTAAAATCTGGTTTGAATATTTTTCTAAAATTTTTATAATCCACTTTTGTGTTAACGCTTTCTCCATCCATTTTTTGGGCAAAAAAAAAAACCTAATTTTTAAAATAACAAGCCGCCCAAGCGGTAGCCCACTGTCAGGCGGAATATATTTTTTTTTCGACGTTAAATACACACACAAATGGTACAGGGTGTCCCACGAAACATGACAGAAGCAAGACAACTTTAACGTTGTCTTGGATTTTTGATATAATTTGCTGTATTTATTTGTCATCCTAAGTTTCTAGTAAAATACTACAGATAGTTATCACAAAATACTCCTAGTCCTGACAATTCCAAAATGTGGTCTGCCTTTTTTATGCTTTCGATATTACCCGAGTTATGAAGAGTTTCGTTCAGATTTCGACAGTTTTGGTTTTATTTAACATAATTGAAATCTATTCAAAATTCTTAATATCTCCGGTAACACTGACCGCACAAAAAAGGCAGACCACATTTAGGAAATGCAAGGACTAGAAGAATTTTGTGATGACTATCTCTAGAATTATACTTCTAAAATAAGATTGACTATTAAATACAGCAAATTATGTAAAAAATCCAAGACGACGTTCAAGTTGTCTTGCTACTGTCATGTTTCGTGAACACCCTGTATTATAAAAAAAGGTTTGTTAAAATTGAAAACAAATATTGTTAGAAAGCTTGTAATATATCCCTGCAAGCTGTGATGAGCCGATGAAGCTGCTCTGTCTCTGCATCTGTGTACAGTTCCCTCCAACTTGATCTATGCTTCCGGTCATCCTTCAAATATCGTTCGGTCAACTTTAAAGGGACTGTTTTCATAATTTAAATAAGGGCATGCCCGATTGATAACCTTTATCTGATCAAGAACATGGTCGTTTTTCTCGCAGTAAATTTCTTTGTAAAATGAAAATAAATAACATGGATTCTTGAGCACCCAAAGCGTTTAAGGTAACATTGTAAATCAGAAACGTTGCAAACATGTGACAACATGTGAGAATGTATGAGAATATGTGAAAATATCTGTGAGAATGTGTGAACATGTGAGAACATGTGAGAATATGTAAGAACATGTGAGAATATGTGTGAGAACATGAGAATATGTGTGAACATGTGAGAAAATGTGAGAACATGTGAGAACATGTGAGAACATGTGTTACATGTGAGAACATGTGAGAATATGTGGAGAACATGAGAATATGTGTGAACATGTGAGAAAATGTGAGAAAATGTGAGAGCATGTGTGAACATGTGAGAAAATGTGAGAAAATGTGAGAACATGTGAGCATGTGTGAAAATGTGAGAACATGTGAGAGCATGTGTGAACATGTGAGAATGTGAGAACATGAGAATATGTGTGAACATGTGAGAAAATGTGAGAAAAATTACTTTTGTCCAAGGGCGTTTCCGGAATTTGTTCTTAAATTTCTTTAAGTTCTTAAATTTGTTACTTTCTAGTGGAGGGGCTCAGCAATCAGCATTCATTTGGGCACAAAAAAAAACACTGAAAACCTTAGATTTCACAGACCCAGGAGGAAGCGGCTGAGCCCTCATAGCCCCCCTCCCCCCTAAATGCGACTAGCTTTTGTTCTTAACGAACTTAATTTCCTTAGGAGCGTAAAGGTAAGAGTTTAAGGAAAACTTTTTCATTTTCTTGAAAAGATCCAAACGTTGCTCCATAGTCCAAGGTCGATGATAAAACCCCTCGATCACTCCACTGTAAAAGCGGCCATTTTTCTCCGCCATTTTCTTCTGAAAATTAACGAGGAAAAAATATAAGAAATGCGCTAAAAATATTTTATTCGATAAATCAAAATCAAAGAAATCCAACTTTTTCTCGCTTTCTTCCCATCGCTTCCTCCTACAAAATGCCTTTTGTTTGTTAACGAAGTACATTTTAAACATAAACCTTAATCATTGTACGACCTTACTTGAAAGTAAAAATCAAAATGTTTTGCTGAAATGTAGAAAATAGTTATTTCAAGTAAGTTAAGAATAGAAAGTTAATTACTTGTCATCCTTAATTTAAAAAAAAGGTAAAAACAAAACAAAAAACGATAAAAAATTAAAACAAAACCATTTTCCTGTTTAAGTTTTTGAATGAGCTTAATGTTGACATCTACTCCAACCGCAACTGCCTGTTTCGTGGCGGACAAAATGCTATTCGGCTGGAAGCTTCCGCCACCAATCTGAACAAAGAAATATTACACATTAAAGGTAAAATAATTCTCCCCACAAAAAATAAGAAAGCTCTTCTTAAATTTAAGATTTTTGTAACAAATTAAGAACATTTTCCAAAATTAAGATTTTTAAGAACATGGTTTTGATATTGTAAATAGTTTAAGATTTATAGGAACATTTTTAAAATCCCAAAAAAATTCAAAAAAAAATGAAAACTTTAAAGATGGTAAAGTTCTTTTTTTTCAAAACTTATTAGTTCTTAAAACATAAAAATTTTTAATATTCTTTGTGAAAGTTAAACATTTGTACTTTTGTAGAGATTATATGTTTAAAAATATGATTAATCTAAAAAAAAATTACATAATATTTTAGAGTACTGCAAAGTTAAAATATAATTGATATTAGTTTAGGGTGTAAAATCATCAGCTTCTATTCAAAATATTCTTGCACACATGTCAAAGTATGATTGATAGTCAAATAGTTTAATGAAGAATTTCTAATATTTCTGGATTTATAACTTCTCTTATTTTAGCATTGTTGTGAGAGCCTGGGGGGCAATTACTCATATAACACTTAATATGATTAATTTTCTCTTCTTCTTTTTTGAAGATATTACAAAAATTTTGATTAAAATAGTGATAAAAAAATGTTAGGTGAAAAAAATTGATGAAGTTTAAGAACTCCCCCACCCCCGTAAATTTAGAACATTAAGAATTAATTGCAGTTTTTAAGAACAGGGGGCAACAATGAGAATAGAATTTGAGTTTTAATATCCGATCAGAGGTTTGAATGTCAAATTGTCAACAGGGAGGATTTCAAGGATTCCCTCCCAAAAAAATTTTTTTTTTTCCCGAATTTGGCGATAAAAACTTGAAAAGATTTCACACTTTATGCATTTCTCACATACATTCAGAATATATTGTGGAAATTTTTTTTTTTAAACTGGAATAACAACGATATCTTTTAAATTATTGATAAGATATAGGATTCGAATTCGGCATGCTCTTTTTAATCATCTTTCTTTCCAACATTGAGATAATTTATGAATACCTTCTTGACAGTAGTGATGAATCCTGCTGGGGATACAGAGACAAGTAGTGATGCAGAACTACAGGTTTCTTCCTCAGGGGTAGAATCAACTACACAGTGGTTCCCAATACGCGTTAAAGTTACTGAAACAGAGAGATGCAACACAGTGGTTCATTATACGCTTTAAAGTTACTGAACAGGGAGATGCAACACAGTGGTTCCCAATACGCGTTTAAGTTACTGAAACAGAGAGATGCAGCACAGTGGTTCACAATACGCTTTGAAGTTACTGAACAGGCAGATGCAACACAGTGGTTCCCAATACGCGTTTAAGTTACTGAACAGGGAGATACAACACAGTGGTTTACAACACGCGTTTAAGTTACTGAAACAGAGAGATGCAACACAGTGGTTCACAATACGCTTTAAAGTTACTGAACAGGGAGATGCAACACAGTGGTTCCCAATACGCGTTTAAGTTACTTAGGATTTGATAACGACTAACTATATTTTTAATTTAAACTTACAAAGTTAGAAAATATATCATGTTTTAAAATCACATCCTTTCTCTACGTGGCTTCTGGAAAAACTCCCCTTTTCTTTCTCCTTGCCACAAGAAGTTCTCTAAGGAAAGACGACTTTCATAGCCGCCACAAGCCCATACAAAACATATCACCACAAAACTTATCACTACAAAACTTATCACCACAAAACTTATCTTTTCAAAACTTATCAGCAACAAAACTTATCATCACAAAACTTATCAAATTACAAAACTTATCAAACTACAAACTTATCAAAACAAAACTTATCAACTACAAAACTTATCAAACTACAAAACGTATCAAACTACAAAACTTATCAATAAAATTCATGAATCTAATTTTCAAATCATGGAAATTTTCCATACAATTTTTTAAAAAGTTCAAAAAATTCGGTAAACTCTCAGTTTCCCAGCCCGCGGCTTAAATATGGTTGATTCCACTTAAAATTGTATCAAATGTGTCCAGATTTAAGCCGGCGCTTAATTTAAACCGGGTTTTGGCAGATTTAAACCGCGGCTCAAATTCTCTAAATTCCATCTCGGGACACCAAGATAAGAGTAAATCTAGATACAAGCGAAGGTCACAGAAAAGAACGTTTAAAAATGTTAAAAAAAATAAATTTTGTAGTTATTTTAATAAGTTTTGAGTTTGATATGTTTTATAGTTGATAAGTTTTGTTGGTTGATAAGTTTTGTAGTTTGATAAGTTTTGTAGTTTTATAAGTTTAGTGATGATAAGTTTTGTTTTGATAAGTTTTGTTGTTAGATAAGTTTTGTTTTGATAAGTTTTGTGGTGATAAGTTTAGTGACGATATGTTTTGTATGGGATCCATTTTCTGTTCTGATCATTCATAAAATTCTGTAATAATTATTTACATTTGCCTCAAAAGGAACTTCTTTCTCACCTCAAACTTTAATTTACTTATCTCTGATCTTTGCACAAGGGTGTATACTGTATAATGTATATTTTATCAAATAAATTTCCCCCCTCCACCTATTAAAAAATAATTTTCAACCCCAAGATGTTAGGTATAATTTTTATTTACCAAACTGGGGAAAACAATAAAATCTTATAGGAGAAAATAAATAAATGATAAAAGTATCAAAAAGGATAAAATTTTTACAAATAAATACCCCTGTCTTTGCAACCATAAATCAAATTAGAGTTTTAGGGACGTCCTTCTTACACAATACCATCACGAAGTGAATATACTAAATCGGAATGGATTTTATCTCGCAGAATTCATAGTTTGTCACCAGGTTGCAAAGATATTCGGATAGAAAAACAGGAATTTAAGTCAAGTGTTCAGTTTCTTAAATGTACCTGATGTGACTGAAACAATTGGTATTTTGGTTGAGAAGAGAGCAGATTTTACAGCCATAGACACAGCATCATACAGGTTACCACCAACCTCTTAACATCAAGGGTATTAGGAGGAGAAACTTTAACCTTCCATCTTTAAGAGTCCTTAATTCCGTTTGATTATATTTTCTTGATCCCCCTACCCCCGTAAAACCCACATCTTATCCTTGAGGCCTGGGGTAAAGAATTATTTTCTCATCATAATTATTCAACCTCAGTAATAGACAGTTTAAAAACAAGTCTAAAACGTCTTAGGGTGACCCCGGGCGCGAACAAAATGCGTATGGTAATGGGAAGTGCAGAGTGGCCAAAGTAGTCAAATCTAGCCATACGTTGTTTAACCAATTCTTTCCATTCAATAATTCTGACATCTGATTTTTACCCCCCCCCCCCCTTGTTGTCTAGTGAAGGGAAATATTCTCCAATGAAAAAAAACTGTCAAGATTTTACCTAATATAAGAATATCTACGTAAAGAATCCAGCATGTTTTCCCCGCAAGGATACACAGTTTATTCAAATTCATTACGTCAGGACTGTCATATGCTCTAAAATACATAAATGATATATTAGAGTGTGAATTATTTTTATTAAACATTCAGAAAAATAATAAACTATTTTTGTTCTTGAATAAGGGGGGGGGTTTGTATTGCCGAATACATTTTGGAAAACAATTTTATATCAAGAGGGTAAGTGAATAAAAGATCTTTAGATGGGAAATATTCATTACTGTAAAACATGATAACTTGTTTGAATAACAAAAGGATATGTTAAAATATCACCCCAATTGACATCTATTTAAAAAAAAATCAATGAATTCCCCCCCTCTCCCTTTAATCAAATCTTAAAAATACAAAAAAAAGATCAATAAATTTAAAAAAATATATATATATTTTCCTTTCAAAATAAATGACACTCAAAGAATCAAACGCCAACAAAGGCATACAAAATATTATCCATCTGATTAAAGTCAAGGGTGTATATTTAGTTACCAGAATACCCCCCCCCCCCTAGGGATAAAAAATGTACATTTGAACTTCATCTGGGAAGTTTTTACACTGTCAAATACTTTTAAGCAAAAACTTCATTTAAGCTTCCTTATTTGACTTTTTATAACCTAATAGCTGGGGGAAAAATGATTTTCAAGAGGAGGGAGGAGAAGAATAAATAATTTTTCAAGAACATTTTTAACCTTGATAAACATTATACACGATATGCAAAATTTAATAATGCTTTTTAAATATGTATCATCCTATGCAATACAATATACATGACACCTCATCTAAACAAATATTTTAATACAATCAACAATGTATGATGTGTATCCCTACCGTGCTAGTACTCTACTGATATCCGCAGCAAGATTATCCCCGCCTCTTCCTTCAAACCCTGGAGTTGCATTGGCAGAACAGTCGACAAAGAACTCTATCCGGCCTCTGAACAAATTCATTAAAGGGACTGTTGATTTATTATTATAAGCAGTGCTTAGGATCTGGATCCGCAAGATTTTGGCTTCCTGGATCCGGATCCGCAAAAATATGCGGATCCACGGATCCGGATCCAAGGGGTAAAATAATAAAATATCAGCCCAAAACTGCAAAAAAAACTTTTTTAATCCAAAACTCAAATCTGAACTTTTGAAAAAGAGAGATTATAAAAATTTCCTCATTTCTGAATGGTTCATCAAATTTTAGGATAAAAATAAGCGAAAAAAATAAAACAAAAATTTGAAAATTATTTTATGTTAAAAAAATTCAGTAAATCTTAAAGAAATGACCTGGATCCGGATCCGCATCAAAATCAAATGGACCCTACTTTAAAAGGGTTACATGAAACTTTATAAAGTTTAGCTTGGGAACTCATCTTTGCCCAAATAGGTCCATGGATTTATGAATTATGATAGGATATACAAACAGACAAACAGAAATTACTTCTTTAAATATATAGAGATTCAGAAAGTTTTCTTCATCTTTATAACATTTAATTTCAATATTTTTAACCTGTCCGGATATGCCGGAAGTGGAGTCTCAAGTTCCGCCTTAACTCCAACCAGAATATCTGTATTCGCCAACCTCAGATGACAAGACCCAGACGCGTGACTAGATAAACATACAGTTTAAATATACAGGGTGTCCCATCATATTATATCGTTTATAGCTCAAAATTAAGATTTAAGGGATTTTAGAAATTTTAAAAAGTGTATAAGGCTTATAAAAATTTTATTGCTGAAAATATCAGTTTTTTGAGTGTTATGTGCGTATTTTGGCGTTAAAGCTTGAAGATAATATGACGTTGTGTACAAACGTAATGCAAACAGCTGGGGTGTATTCTTACTTGGAGTTGATTTCTTTCCTTACAGAAATTTATCCGATTAATGATAAAAACGTACCTTTTTCTATTTAAAAAAAAACAATTTCCTAATTTAAAAATTTCAGATCGTAAGCTTGATTAGCAGACCTGACGATGTCAGTTTCCATGATGATTGGTCTCAACTCAGATCTTTGTCGGCCATCAACTCTGAACAACAAACAAAATATAATACTTTTTATTACTTGCATAGATTAATAGAGATAGAAAAGTAAAAGAGATACAAAAGATCGAACAGATAAAGATATAAAAGATTGCATGGGAATGGAGTATATGACAAATGTACAATAGAAAGATGAGAGAGGGGCCGGTGTCAAAAGCGTATTAATTACAAGCAGAATGTCGTTTTTAAGAAAACAAAAATTAATTTGTTTTGAAATGTGGACTCGCTCACAATGCCGAGTTTATTTTTTATAGGTCGTCTTTAAACAAAATAATATTTTTAATCATTTTTATTCTAAAATTCACCATTTTAACATTAAGAAAACTATGAACAATTATATTATTCCATTTCAAATTCCAATAACTGACTGAAAAAGTAAAAATAGGTTAAAAATTAAAAAAAACTAATTAAAGACGACTGTTAAAGATCTATTGCGGCACAATTCTTAAACTTGCGCAAACTCGCTTTATTGTTGACTTCCAGCTCGGTTGCAACCGGAAGTTTTTTTTCCGAGTTCGTCTTGTCTCACGCTGATAACCAAAATTCTTCATACGTGAAGGAACGTTAACAAAATATTTTCAATTTTATTGTGCCAGCAAATTTTTCTTTTACGCTGGTTTAGTATTTTATTTGTCGATTATACTATACTACATCGCAATTATTTTTTCTCAGGATTTATTTAAAAAATGGAGATATCCTCGGCCCGTGTGAGCCCTGTCACCAACTCCTCCCCCGCCTCCTTGAACAGCATGCAGCTGGCCATCATATCTTTAAAGGTTTGGTTTTATTAAGAATAGGGTAATTCCCTAATATTCGATTTTTGGACCTCCCCCCCCCGGGGTCCGTCCTAGAGATTGATTTTTGTTTTTGCCATTTCTATTACTCCCTTTTTGCTCCCCCTAACCCCCTCCTATCAATTATATACATGACCAATAAATTTCAGCATAATTAACAATGCTAATTTTTAATCTTTGATATTGAGAGAGTTAACCTTAAATTTTCATCAAAATAATTTCAATCACAGGGATTAAATTTATTATTTTGTGTAAAGACTCAAATTCAGAAAAATCTAGGTTCTCTAGCTAGGAACAAGAAACAGATATTCTTCATTATGTTTCCGGTAGATAGGGGATTTTTGTCCATAAAAATAATAAGTTAAATCACTTACTCTGTTTCAGAACATGGAAACCCTTTCATAATTCATCTTAAATAGTATCTGTTCTATTAACTTGTGTCACCACCTGCGAGACTGATTTTCTGAACAATTCCTTTTCAGGACAAATGTCAGAAGCAGCAGAAACGGTTGGAAGAGCTGGAGGGAGAGAAGATAATATTAGAGATTAGCAAAGAGAATATTTACTCCGAGATTAAAAAACTTCATGAATCCAATGTCAAGCTGAGGGACAAAAACCTTCAACTGAGTCACGATTTACAGGTTTTGAGATATTAATTTTTATGATTTTAATAAAAGAATAGATTTTTTTTCAAAAAAGTCACATTATTCTCTCAAAATATAACTTTTTTCCAACGGTAATCTTGAAATTTATTGTCTAATATTCGAATATTGAGTCAGTTCAACAATTATTATTCTATCAGAGTTAAATGTCTAGGTGAAAAGTATAGAATGTACTGAACTACGACGTACACTAGAAGACAAACAATTTAACGAGACACAGAGCGCAAAACAGATAGAGAGGTTACAGAACCAGATGGAGATAGCATCACATAGGTAATAACAAAATTTCTGGGGAATATTTTCCCGAGAAATCAATTTTCTTCCCCAACCCGTCTTATTGAAAATCTTATATGTTTCCGCGGAGCAAAAAAAAATTTGTAGTTTTTTTCGCGGAATTGGGGAAAATAAATGATTTTCCGGGGGAAATAAATGAATTTTCAGGTAAAATGTATCTTTAATGTATAAAATTTTCTATTTTTTCTCCACAAATGTTGAAAAATCATTTTTTAAATAACTTTTCTGTTTAGAGAGTTAAGTTCACATTCGGTCTCATTGGTTTCCATATCAGAAGAAGCAAGAGAATCATTTCATGATGATCAAGAGTCGTCTATTAGCGAAGCCCGAGAGTCTCTTTCCAGTCGAGAGTTTTTAGTGCCAGTATCTCATCAGGACACCAAGAGTTTAGTAGATCAAGTTTCTACAAATTACAAAACAATCAAGCAAGTTGAAATTAAATATATTCCTAAAATTAGAATTTAAGATAACAATTTAAAATCATAATATAATTTTTTTCTGTTTCTACAGGGATCAACTTTACAAGGAGCAGAAGAAGCTTCGCCTAGCCCTTAATGTACTGCAGCAAAACAAACTAAATTCCGGTGAATATGTTTGTTTTGTTAATATTGGTTCTAATGTTATAGAGATTAACTTTGTAGGCGGGGGGGGGGGAATATGGTTTTCTAGGAATTTTTTCGGCAAGTGTTCTCCAATTAAAAAAATATTTTACTAAAAAATTATTTTTTTCAAATAAGTGAATTATGAATACTCAATTCTTAGTTTGTTAATTGTTCGGATATTTTTTAAAGTTTACAGTTATTTAAGACAATCCTATTTTCAGATCAGAAAATAGAAACATTAATATCCGCGACCCTCTCTACTGCCCGAAGCAAGGCCGGCGAGCAGGTTTGTAATTTTCACACTATATTCCATAAATAAAATTATTTTAGAAATTTTGATTTTAATTTTACAGACTTTTTTCTATTCAAAATATTATCCTTTGAAATGTTCATCACTAGATCAAATACTGAGTACATTTTTAATTATTAAAATTTGAAGATCTCTTGGTGCATTCAACTTAAACATTTCTTGCATATATTTAGAACTCACGAGGGAGGAAATGTCCAATGTGTGAAGTAGAGTTTACTATGGAAACTACTCAGGTAGCGATATTTTAACTTTTTAAGGATTCATTACAGTGGGGCCCATAAAATTATAGAATATGAAAACGACTATTAGAATATAGTTATGATTTTAGATAACTTCAGACTAACATTAAACACACTATTTTACTTAATGAACTGATTTTTAAGAAACTGGTAAAAAATTGTTGCTTTAAAACGACAACAATGCTAAAATATCGTCTTCTGATTCCACATTGTGGTTCTCTTTGTACAATTTGACGGAAAAAGGCATATTCTGGATTCGTTTTCGTAAATGTTTAGATAACAAGAGTGACAACTGAAGTCAGTGTTTAACATTAAAATAATCCTAGAAAAGACCTTTTTATCCATTAAAAAGCAACAAAGGAAAACTAGGCTATCTTCGATTTAAACTTTTAATTGTTGCACTTTTATCGATTTGTTTTCGTAGATTTTGAAAAATCGAAATTTTTTAAGGACACTTTTTAAAATTTCTTACCATCCATAAACCTTTCCTGGGATCATATAAGGTTCCGCAAAATTTGTTGGCCCGGTCGGTTCAGCAATTTTGAAGTTAATCGGTTACAATCAACAAACAAACAGAGAAGCAATGAGTATCAAAAACGTTGTTTTTTTTAAGGATGAGTTTGAGTGCCATGTGGTCGAGCATTTCAATTACGAAGAATCGGAGACTTTGAGGTAAATATTTTTTATTTATTGATTCTATTCAATATATTTAAATATTATGTTCAGAAAAGATGAGTATCTGAAGTAAAAATCTGATTACTAGACACAAAATCTATTTTTCTCTTCTCTGTCTTTGCACTCTTTAGATCTTTAAGGCTTCAAATTATAGATTCTCCTGAACACAATTAGGTTGCAAAGACATAGGAAAATAGATTTTGTGACGAGTATCCTATTCTATTTCATTATTATTCTATTTCAGGCATTTTGATACAGTACCAGATGCTTTCTGGAGTTGTAATAACAGTTTGGAACATCAGAATTCATCTTAATCGCTGGAAACAGAATAATCAATTTTAGTTCTTTGGAGCAGCATAGTTGACACTAGCTGTTTGAAGGATCAATCCCAGCTATTTTGAGCAGCTAAAATATTTTGTCAACAAATTTAAAAAATCCGTCCATTAATTATTATTAATAATTATCGAGGGTTATACATACATTTTGTTAAATGTTGTGAACTTATAGAGAAATCATTTATTTTCTGAGGCAACTCGACAACATTTTAACGTTTATTTGGAGCACTTGCAAAACGTTTCCTCCACAAAATGTCTCGTGTTTATTTTCGTAATAATGAAGCATTTCCTTGCCCTTAAAAAAGGTTGTCATATCAAAATTTACAAAAAAATACCCCTAATAGGATCATTTTTAAAATTACTATAAATTGTTATTTAGTTAGAAAAAAAATTATTAGTAACTAATTATTCATTTACAAAAATTACCCTTAGTGGTCATTGTGTCGACAATTGGAAAAAAAGAAAATATCTTTGTATTTATTAAAGTTATTGTGATTAAATGCAAATGTTACACATCAAATTTTTTCCTAAAAAAAAAATATTGTTTGTAAAAAATTATTTACTCTCAATGATGATATTTAAGCATTTATCAAGCGTAAACTTATCTGACAATTTATTTATAAAATCAAACCTTTTTTGTTTAATTGATTCTGGTGAATATAGTATTATTTTCATAACTCTGTTGTATAGTTGTAAAGGTCTAAATGTTTGATTATTTCAATTAATTTCTGCCAATTTTAAGTGTTTCAATTGAAACCTCAAAACTTTGGTCAAAACTTATGGTTAAAATAGCTCTATTCTAAAACACTTGATCTCGATATTCACTATAATCATTTTTTTGAAATTTGAGAAATGTGCGGAATTTAAATACTACGCACGGGATATCCAAGAGGAATTAATTTGATCCGTTGAACTGCAAAGTGCAAATCATACGGATATGTGCTTAATCCCGTGATTTACATTTTAACCTCGGGTCTTTGTGTCTCATCTTTTTAACTTTTTTCAATATTTGTAAATTTCAATTTGTCAAATATATTTCTCGCAAATAACGGGACTATTTATTGCAGATTTGCAAACCTATGTAATATGATGGAATGTTGAAAGAACAATATAAGCTAGCAGGTAAAAACAACTTTGTAATTGTTCTATTAGGGTTAAATTGTCAAGTCACTTGTAAAATGTTGAATGTATGTTAAGAATATTTTCATATTAAAAAATAGAAATTTAGTATGTTGGTATCTTAGTAATGGATACATTTTATCACTTACTTATCTGTATCTCATTACATATTTAGAAGCTAAATATTTTTAGATAACAATTTTTAATAAGAATTTTTAAAAGGTAAAATATGGACCAGGTACATCCCTCCTACAGGGGATCAGGAGATACTAATGATGAGGGATCTTCAAATCCACCTCAGTCCTCCTCTAACGACGGTTTGATCAGAAAATTGCTACAGGTTTATCATTTTTCTTTCTGTAACGGAATAAAAATGTATCAGAAATATCTTCATATTTATTTCAGTCTTCCCCACTTGAGCTGTCACAGCTGTCAGGATCTGGGTCTCAGCAGTCACAGTACGATTTATCTGAAAATCATTTGGCGCAATTTATCAGCCCTGTGAAACAGCTCCCGCCACGTGCTCTTCTTAGTCCTGGCCGCCAGCAGACGGTGAAATACCGTTTAGATGAAGACCGTCATGTTGGACCAGCATCAAGATTAGCTGGGACTGATCGATTGATCGCTTTGATCCAACTTGATCATTCCTATTCTAAACCCTGGAGACCAGATGCCTCCAATACATTACCAACTAAAATATTGTTTTCTGATCGAGTTGGCAGTAGTACTACAAACTTTAACATTACAGGTTAGCGCACGTTATAAATATTTTTTATTATCTTGAACCTATCATTTTTGGCTGAGTCCCTTAACGGCCGATGTTGGTCTGGATCCACGATAATTTTCATTATTATTATTATTGATATTGTTATTATTATTATTATTATTGTTATGTTATGTCCCATCATGGTGTAAGCGAAGGAGAAAGCGGAATAAAAAGAGAAGAATTTATTATAAAAACTCTAATCGATGTATTTTCAATTATTTTTTACTCTACTGGTTCAGCCATATGGACGTTTAAATACTGTTAAAACAAATAAACAGATAAACGTATATAAATGATATTTATTAAGATGACGATGATGAGATCAACATTGAACTTGATCCCATCAAACCTGTTCCTCCATACGATCCCCAGCAGGCTAGAAAGGTAAACTTTCTCCAGCAGGCAGATTTCTTTACTCTGGGTTTTGGTTGATATTATACATTTCTTTGTTTAATTCTCAGATCTATAATTGTTAGCCTTGCTCAAAGGGACTGTAAGCATAATTTTAAGGGACCCTCCATGAAAAGATAGCAATGTCCGATTCACAACGGTACCCTTGAAACCTTTATCTGATTGATAATGTGAAAGTTATTGCCTCAAAATATTTATAACAATTTCTATCTTTTCCTGCTGGAGAAATATGCAAGTCACTTATGTAGAGAACTCACCAATGAAGATTTTCATTTTTCAAATTTAAAAACATTGAAATTTTACGAGAGCAAAAATTGCTGTTTTTCATAAAAATACTCAACTTTCAAAAATGTGAATTGCAAAAAAAGTTAATTTTGGGCATAACAACTATATTTATACCTTTTACTTTACCGAAAAATTGTATTATCGACCGAAATTTGTTTTTAAAACGCGCGTTGCATAATGTGCTCATTTGATTTGTTTATAAGGCGATGTCCGAGTGTAAGAGATTTTCTAGTTTTGCCAACCCACATCTTCAAGATACAGAAGGACAAGGGTGGGAGGAGGCGGTTGTTAAGGTAATCTTGATTTAAGAGGAATTGTAATATGGACACTTAACATTGTACAGTTATTATTATTATTACCAATCAACCTACTGTCAAAGTATCATGTCTTATATATGTTAAGTTAATCTTCAGGGTCTAGCTCCAGTCACTCCGCTTGGGTTAAAAATGTTGTATATGGTTATAATAAGGAGATGTATATTACAATTTTACATAGTTGCATGTCATTCATGCTATTCATATAAATAAAGAAGACTTTTTCTCAATTTTTTTTTTAACATTAAGAATTTTATTTTTTATTTTAGGATGGTTGGACACAGCAACAAAAAGTTCTCTACACAAAAATGATAAAAGTAGGACTTTTCGATTTTTTTTTCATTACGTAAACATTTTCAACTCAACCTTTATTTTTTTTATTTTTGCCGAAAATAGATCAAATTTTCCCTAAAAGATAACTTTCGTAAATCTTCCATTCAAAATGCTTTTGAAGAAGGGGGGGGGGGAACAAAGATATACCTCTGATAACAACTCAGATTATTTGTGCCACAATATGTCCCTGTTTAATTTAGGGGTCCATGAATAAATTTTATGGCAGGTGTAAGTCCTAATTTTATGGACGTAGATACCTTTAATGACAAAATTTAGAGAATTCCTTACTGATTTACAATGGAAAATTTTCTGTGTCTTAATGATGTCAAATGACATTTTTAACTCCTGGATGAACTTCCGATTAAGTGCTGTTAAAATCGCATATTTTTAGGTTTTACATTTGGACAGACTTAGCCGGTTATCTCAAGAGGGCCGGGATAACGAGCCAGTACTCCGTAGAATAACAGTGGATAAATCAGCAAAGTAAGTTGATACAGTGAAACCAATAAAACTGTAGAGTGTGGAATAGGCAGACGACGACTGCTAGACTCGGCTTTAATTATTTTATATTTAGTCCAATGAACATTTAAAGCAACAATTGTGCCACTTTCACAAATTCATTTCACTTGTAGTTGTTAACATGGTTTTCAATTAACTGTCCAAATTATAATTGCATTATGACGCCATTAATTTCGTTTCTACGTTAACATAAAATTACCTTCTTTTCCACAATTTCCGTTCTGTGGCGGTTATTTTTGAAGAGGGTTGGCCGAGATTTCTACGATTTAATCAGAGCAAACTTCTGCCATTAACTTTTATCCTTTGCTGTAGAAATTCAATTCAATACCAGTGTGAATTATCTCTGACAAAACCTTTAATTGTAATAATTTACCAGCTTTTTTGTCATGGGTTTCGTTCTCTGAGTTGGCAGGGGGGGCAAAATTATAAATCATGAATTTAACAGATGTAATTGTAGGATGATAAAAAAAAGTTTGAAAGAAATGTTATTTTTACTTCGTCTGAATTCCTTATGCTCTGTTTCAGGAGAGCCCGAAGTGTTCTGTCCTCACACCCTGTGTTGTGGGATACAAAAACCATGCAATGGTTGCATTCTGTGTTCTCAGAATACCTTCCTAAACCATACTTAGCTGCCTGGATAGATATTATACAGGTATACTTGTGATACCTTCCTAAACCATACTTAGCTGCCTGGATGGATGTTATATAGGTGTTCATACAGTAGTACCCATAAATCTGTAGAATAGGAAGATTTGCAAGTTATTATTATTAAAAATCCAATGAATCTGAAACACAGGAGTGTTTATAGATGAAATGTCGTTTTTCTATTCCATAGTATTATGGGCCCAATTGTACTTGCAGAAAAGGATTACACATTATTACAGGCAGGGCCTTAATTTAATTTAAGAAATGACAAGTCTGAATATCTTTACTTCATATTATTCAAACAATCATAATTTTTGTATGCATGTGATAGTGCAGCCTGAACAATTAGATTTGATAAAAATATATTGCTTATTTCTAGACTTTAAAGAGCAAAGTGCCAGCATTGATTGATAGAATGCTTACCCTTCATCTCAACCCAACCTCGGAATCTAAAATTCATCAGGTAAAAACGTTTTTTATACATTTTGTTGTTTGCGATGTTATAGCAACAAATCTAGAGGCACCTAATTTAAAATCAGATTATTGATCCCCCCCCGCCTTCGGCCTCAAACTACCACTCTTAAAGATTTCACTGTTCAATATGATAAGGTGTTCAATTTAGAAATGTGTAATTTGAAATATTTCAAAATTATATAATCCACGAAACTTGTCAGGAAACGGATTTATTTGGTAAAAGGTTATGATTTTCATGAACAATGAACATCTTATTGTCGCAAACCTCAGATGTCTTTCTAATTCTAAAAATTTCGATATCTTGTGTATTTTGAAATAATTCAACAATATCTTTTAATTATGGTTTTATTTGAGGTATTACGTGTTTTCAGAAATAAGTGAATCATTTAATTATTTTAGATCATGGCTGAGGGTTTCTCCGTGTTATTGAACCGACCCTGGGATCCTGCAGCTAGCAGTATAACCCGGAGAAGGTTGGAAAAACTACCTGGAAATCCGATCATCATTGTGGCTCCGTCAGGTAATAAAGATGGCTGACCGAGTGCTGCAAAATTAAAACCAGATCTGCTTTAGTGATAAAGTCAAATGTGCTCGGAAAACTTTGCAAATTCTGAAAGTTTCTTTTGATTTGAAGAGTTGAAGGCCCTATGAGTCTTATTTGATTTGATTTCAGCCAATACTTAACAAAATGTTGGAGAACCAACTTTATGTAGTTCAACTTGTATAATTTTTTGATTATTTATTCTTGGACATAATGAATTTTTCTAGAAAATATAAAGACAAATATTTCTAATAAATAAAAAAGTGATTGTATATTCCAGGGCCCGGGGATCCTAAGAAGATGTCACGTCGTCTCCGACTTTGGAACAACCAGCTTGGGTGTCTAGGAAAGGTAGAAAAAGATAAAATTTAAAAAAATAAGACATTCAAAAGTGATAGACTGATTAAAATTATTCTGAAAAGGTCTTAATAGCTCAATTTGCAAGTTGTAAACTCTTATTTTAATCCCAGTTTAGTAGAGTCATGATGGGATTGCGATGTTATCATAGCGCGTCCGTAAAAGTCTGATTGATTGATTGATTAATTCAAGACTAAGTTCGTATATTTCTCAGTGTATGGAAAAATAATTATGTTCATTGCAATAATAATCGGTTAGTTGAATATTAATTTGGTTGATCTTTACAAAAAAACGTTTCAATAAAAAAAGTATTAGGACATTATTCAGATTTTCACCCATACTTTTATTTTAAAAAAATCGGTTTAAAATATATTTTTGTTTTTATCTCAAATCATAATTTTTGTTTCCTAGTTAAAGAAGATCTTGTAGTTACTATTTATTGCAAACATTTTTGTGCAGGTTATTGTGATAAATGTTCCGATGTTTAAAGGAGAAGCATCATTAAATCATACCGTCAACCATTACCTTTATCAGATGGTATCAGCAACATTGGGCAAGGTAATATTTTGAATAAATATGTAGAAATATCGGGGGTCTCTGTGGCCTGAAATAAGTAGACATGAGCTGAAATTTACTGTTCATTAACTTGTATGTTTTTTTTTATTAAACAAGGCTTTCGGACGCGAACCGCCTGTTTTTGTTTTTAAATCACAGATATTTTAAAGGTTTCGCAGATTTTTCGGGTTTCATTGGATAATCAACAATTTTGGAGGCAAGTTTTTGTCTATTCTATTGGCTAAACTCTTAGGTCCACGGACTCCACGAGGTCTTAAAAGTTGTATTGCAAAAAATTCCAAAATGGAGGGTATGGAGACGGGGGGTGGGGGATGGGGAGGATGGAGGGGCAGGTCTGTGCTTAAATATTTAATTCGTATGTGAATTGGTCTTTAACTTAAGGGTAATTTATTCATTTGATTGAAATATAATCATTAATATTTTCTCCCTTTTAAGGTTCGGGAATGCAAGAACAATTTATCCGATCGACCAGTTGTATTGATGGGTTGGGGTGCAGGGGCTGCTATTGCAGTACATATAGCTGGAGTAGAGAAACTAGCAGGTATCAGATCTACCAGTTGTATTGATGGGTTGGGGTGCAGGGGCTGCTATAGCAGTACATATAGCTGGAGTAGAGAAACTAGCAGGTATCAGATCTACCAGTTGTATTGATGGGTTGGTAGATCGTGAGTGAGGAATTAGGACGTCCCTTAAAAACTCTAAGCGTAATTTTAAGTGACTCAACGCCTAGAGATGGCAATACCCGATTCACAATGGTACCCTTAAAAGCTTTGCTATAAATCAGATAGCCTTGGTTTTCTTTTACCAACTGATAATTTTCATCATCTTCTAATGTGACTTGCGTATTTCTCGCTGATGCTCAGCAATGGTGCAATTAACAGTTTAAAATACGATTTTATCTTCTTTATTTTTGACCAGATTAAGGTTTCAAGGGTACTGTTGGTAATGGGGCATTGCGATATTTGCTTGGAGGGTCACTTAAAATTACGCTTACAGTCCCTTTAACAGTCTGATTGGATTTAAATCATAGCCACCAATCATTGATCGGTCCAAATCCATTCTTCTTTTAAGTGGTTGAAATAACTTTGTGAATACATAAACTTTATTGTGTTTGATATTGTTTTTAGCTTCTCATATCTCTTTTTAATTATGATATAATAATTGAATCTTTGTAAAATTTGAATCGGTTTTCATAATTAATCTTATATTAATCAATCATTTTTATTGTTCAGGGTTGGTTTGCCTGGGGTTTCCAACTATGAGCTTATCAGGGAATAGAGGAGAGCTTGGAGACCCATTGCTAGACATCAAGACACCAACCTTGTTCGTTGTCGGAGAGAAGTCCTCCTTGTCGAACACAGACGACATTGAAGATTTCAGAGAACGCCTGCCTGTCGAAACGGGACTAGTAATAGTTGGTTCAGCCGACAACAACCTCAGAATGACGAAACGTAAAAAGCGCCAGGCTTGTGTGACACAGTCAATGGTAGATCAAAGTATTATGGATGAAATCCGCGAGTTTTTGGCGGGAATTTTAACAAGTTCTTGTCGGAATAGTTATGCTACATTTGCCGTTCCGAGCAATGACAATATCCTGTCTGTCGGAAGTTCGACCAAGAAGGCCCGTGGGAGGAAAAGAAATAATTCTAGCCAGGACGGTTCAGGTTCATTTTTTAAAATTTTATTTAAAATCTCAATTATATCCATTACGTTAAAGGTGTAATGACAAGTAACTCAGTGCATAGAGGACAATCCTTGATTCACACATACATCATTGATACATTTATTTAATCAATAATTGTCGTTTTTAATAGGTTTATAAAGTTTAATTTGGATAATTCCTTTATTTTTTCAGGTTTATAATGTTTAATTTGGATAATTCCTTTATTTTTTCAGGCAGTAGAAATGCGCAAGCCACTTATGTAGAGAAGTCACATTTGTAAATAATCATTTTTCAAAGTTTTTGACATTGATATATACTTCGAAGCTTTTCAGGGTATCGTTGTAGAGATCTGGCATTGTCATCTTTGCATGGAAGGTCGTTGAAATTACAGTTAATCTCTGAAAACCAAGCTAATTTCGTTCGGCGTTCGTGAATTTCCGGAAAAGGAGCAACTCTTGTTGACTGCAAAGTTTGACCCTCGAGTTTTTCCTAGACGCAGAACTTGCCACCGAATCTATAGTTAACACAGTGCTCTGCCTCTAGATAATGTGAAAATCGATAAAATAATTGTTGAACATTTCTTTTCGGTAAATATTTTCTGTCTTGTATTTGTCTTGTTCTGGAATATTGTATGTTTTAGGTCCTTTGTCTCCAAACAAGAGGAGGCCTGGGAGTAGACCAACTACTCCAGGTTCTGCTCCAGGAAGCGGGGGGAGTACTCCGATAAAACTTAACCCAGGTGGGTTCATCATTAACATGATTTATAGCAAATGTCAAAATTAAGTTCAGATCCGGGCTGCAAAACCGTTACACAATCTGGAAATCAACCTCCAGGCTGTTTCATGGAGCCTAAAGCTTTCCCTAAAATTCACGATTTGATTTTATTTGATCCATTAATTAAAGATGTTCTGAAATTTTTCAGATTTTGAAGAACGTTAGGAATAAATTATGTGACTTTTTATGTACTGTAGAATAGAATTTTTTAATATTTAGGAATAAAGATCCAGAACAACTCATCCTTAAAAATGGCGGTCTGGGTTTTCCTTTGAGGGGGGGGGGCGGGAGCTATTAACTCCCTTTTAATGATATTTCTGAAGTAATTCGTCACAAAGAAGTCTGACGCTTCATCTAACCATACAATCTCAGAATGTATTTAAAAAATCTTCTTGTTAAGTTCGTTAATTAGATCGACCCCCCACCCCACCCCCACTCTATACACGCACATCTACACAGTTTGTTTTTAATCTTTGTGAAGAAACAATCTCAAGGAATATTAATTGTCTTAAAACATTTTTTTTTAAAGTGAATATTTGCAAATTATCTTTTTCCCATCTCATAATCTGAGTTCGTTTCCATTATGTCCAATTGACAGCCCAAATTTTTATTTTGAATAATCTTTTTTGTTTGTTTATCTTCTTGTGATTTTTTACATTTTTTATTTTTTTTTTTATCGATTTTGATGGTTATTATATCGTTAGAACGGACGAGGGTCAACCCAGACCGAAATATATTTTGAATAAATGTGGAACTAACATCTACTTTTTTACTCTACAGAGGTTTGGTCCATCACCATCACCGAATTTTAAATCTTCTTGTTTAGGTTCCCCTGCGAAAAGAAGAAAGAAGGCTCGCAAATCCCTTTCAGCAGAGATAGGAACCAGTTTTCCTGCGCAAGGTATTACTTCACGTTATTAAAATAAAAAAATTAGAAAACATTTGCTTTTCTCACACAATGCCAGATTTTGGCCCTGAAATAAAATATAGACATAACGACCAACACTAGCTGCGATGGTTCAAATAATATTATTATTTTATTATAAAGATCCTTAAAACTTCAGTATTTTGGTAAAATTTCTACCCTTTTCTCAGAAAACTTATAAATGCTTATTGTCAAGATTCCTGTTTTAACGAAACAGATCAAAATTGTTGAATTTTCTCATTGGTTCAAACTCTCAACTGCCTAAGAGGCGAAAATTACATGTTTTTTGTCAAATACTATATTTTCTCTAAATTAAGTAAAATCTACATCATAAAGCTCTTAGCTCATAAATATATATTTATATTATATATATACCAAAATTATGATTCAAATTTTAAACCTAGCACGGGTGAACGGCGGGAATAACTAGGACTATATATTAAAAAATTAACAAAATTCTGTTTCTTTCAATAAATTACATTTTTTTAGTTGTTGGATCTAATCCGTTTCCTCCCGGATTATTATCCATCTCCTCTCCACTTCCACAATCCACCCTAGGATCAGATTCTACCTCACCACCTCCCCTCACCATCAGGTAGATTACTCACCACCTCCCCTCACCATCAGGTAGATTAAAGGGAACATTCATGTAAATTCAAGTGAGCATCCATTTAAAGAGGGTCATGTCCGCTTAACAACCGTGCACTTAAAATAACATATTGTAATCAATCATGTCCAGGAAAAAATCGCCTCTACCTTGAAAACTGTTGAAGTAAAAAAAAGTCTGTGACATCAAAAAATCACTTATCACTTATCACTTGATTAAAATTATTAGATTTTAAAGAGAAAACAAAGATATCTTTTCATTGGTACCTTTGTGATTTGGAAAACCCACCTGAAGAAAGAATTGTTTGATATTCTCGTTATTCAGGGTTCCGATATCTCTTCCTACAACAATATCTCCAGTAACCAGTCAACATACCCACCCTGCTCTTACTCCAGGTAGGAGACAGTCATGAGGAGGAGCTCCTGTATTGTGTATATAATATATATATGGATGGGACTTTTACAATTTTCTGAAAAACGAATTGATTGTTTTAATAATGACGCAGAAAGAACATCTTACCTTTCTAGGGTTGTTTTATGTTTGAATTTTTAATTCATTTTTTTGTTTTAAGCTGGAGGACCACAGCTTGCAGGAGTAAGATCTTCCAACCCTATGTTGAGTCCTCAAATCAGGTTTGGATTATTAACTGAGATGGGAATTCTTGTACTGTGGATATTCACGTCAATCCTTGTTATCGATCTTTTGTTAATCAAGAGATCGAGATTGCTAGTATCCAATACAAAAAAAATTCAATTGTCATTGTACTTATGAATAAGATTGACAAGATCATGACTTAATTAAAATTGTGATAAATTAACTTTTTTGTTGAACCGAAATGATTTTAAAGTGGGTTTAATCTTAATTAACTTTTACAGAGCTCCTGTTCCTCCACCTCCTGGAGTACGAATCCAGAACAGTAGCAGGATGCCTTCTCCTGTTCGAGGACCAATTCCTGTTAGCCAATGGGGACCTGTCAGAAACCATGCACCACGGGGACCTTCTTCTGCCATCAGGACGTCCACCGTTCGGGGACCTACGCCTGTACTAAGTCCAACTCCAAGGGGATCTACTCCTCAAAGAATAGTCAGAAACCATGCACCACGGGGGCCTACTTCTGCCATCAGGACGTCCACCGTTCGGGGACCTACGCCTGTACTAAGTCCAACTCCGAGGGGACCTACTCCTCAAAGAATGCTGTCGGCTATACCAACTAATCCCAGACTATTGCTTCCTTCGTATTCCTCTACTAGTGGAATATCAAGGACAAGTTCAGGAACAGTAACTGGTTCTCTAGCTTCATCTCCGAGAGTAATTCAGTATGCGGCGAAGAGCAACAAAGCACTCAATCAATCAAGCTCTGAAGGTTTGTTAATAAAAAAATTAAGCTTCAAGAACTATGATTTTTAAACCATTTATGTTTATAGGGAGTGATCCGAAAGCCCCGAGTCAGTTCCAAAATAACGTATTGGGGCGACCAGCTGGGGTGCCTGGCAGTTTGGTACAGCAAACTCTACCGGTTAACCAGGGTGTCAGTCCGGTACAAGGTGGTCAAGGTGTACAGGGCCGACCGAGCGGCCAGGACAAGCTCTTTATCATATCTGTACCGGCCGGTGAGGCGGGGAAGAACACTATTAACAATCTTTCATTACCCACGACAAGGTAGGAAAGCAAAGTATTTTGCTTGGTTCTGATATTCTCGAAAGAATTTTTAAGTGTATAAAGTATACTATTACTTATAAGGGTGATTAGGGTTTTGAAGTCTTTTTAAACATGTCGAATTCTTGAAGGGTCTTGTATAACAGTTTTTGATTCAAATTAATTGTTTCTGATACGAGGAGGTTTAAAATATCAGAATTTTTGGTTGTAATAATCAGTGATCATAAGTCTTTAATCTGCACGGACAAAATCCTATAAACCCTTCATGGACACCTTTTTATTTTTGTTTTAATTAGGCCTGGTGGATCTTCATTGCAAATCACACCTGTAAACCAATCACAAAGCCAATCTAAACCAACATCCGTCATATCTTCTTCATCCACTTCACCAGGAAAACTTCCGGTCTCCAGTCAACCTGCTTCCGGTTTTACACCAGTCTCCACTCCACAGCCGGAAGTGAAGAAACCGGAAGCTGTAACAGAACGTCAGGACGTGGCACAGATACTGGCCAGTTTGTCGGGGTTTGTGGGAGATAAATCATAGAATACATATATATTGTACAGTGTTTTTCGGTCATTTTTACTTTGTACAGTTTTCATACAAAGATTTATGTAATTTAAGTTTGAAGTATTCTGCTAATTGCCAATGATCATGAATTTATCAGCTTTTTTATTTTTACCTCAATGCGTGAAATAAAACTTATAATTAACTGTAAAATTTCAGAAATTATGTGCTCTGACCTCAGAAGACGAACTCCGGTTAAAAGGTTAAAAATTACAAAAAACTTTTTCTGATGTATTATTTAGTGTCATATCAATTGGTTAAATGGTCGATTGGACTAACGTTCGTTTGGACTAATGTTAATTTGGAATAACGTTCAAAACAATTATATGTTTAATTAAACTAACTTTTCGATTTTTAAAAAATTTCCTCCTTTAAAGTTTTAAGTATTTTTTTCACAAAAAATTATATCATGTAATCTTATTATTTGGAGGGTTAGGTTAGGTTACGACACAAAGATCTCTAAAATGGTAATGCCAGTGTGTTAAAAATATATATATATATTTTTTAAATATAGTTTATTGGAACAAATGGACCATACACCGGTTTGTGAACAGCTGATTAGTGCAATTGTACGTTAGGCCAATAGTCCTATTGATATAGCATCTATTATTTAAAAACGAGTTGTTATTAGCGTATTGACAATTTAAAATTTCCCCTATTTTACTCGTTTCATTTCCCAGGACTATGTCCTCGTCTGTTGTTGAGGAGGCAAGGACTGTTCGTGAACGATTGTTTAGACTGCGTTCAGACCGCCCGCTACACAGACCACGGTACATAATAGGGAACACTCCCTTACTTTTTACTTTTATACGCTTTTTTTTCATCTTGCACAGGGGTTTCTTTGATTTTTCAGAAATTTAAAAAAAATCAAAATTTTACCATTTATCAAAATCATGACATAACTTACAAAAAGAACGGGGGGGGGGTTATTTTTCAAGATTTATAATGTTTTTAAAAAGTCTATATTTAACTTTATTTAATATTCCCTTACTTTAGTTATGTTTAAACAGTTTTTGTCATGGCCCCCCCAAAAGATTTCTCAATTGTATGGGATACAATTTTTTTTAACATTAATCTTTTAGAGATCAGGGTTTACAGGAGCTGGGTTGGAACTGCAGCGGGTTCCCGAGCTGGGCATCCGTCCTTCTCTCCCTCATCCTCATTAAGATGTTCCTGGAGAACATCAACAAGGAATAGACGCATCATGCCTTATCTTTCGGTGCAAATTTGTTCGCTTACAATGGTTGCGCATGCGCGGCTCACGGACGCTCTTTAGAAAATATTAATAAATTCACGTGACATGCGTATAGGGTACATGGCATACTCACAGTGCACTCGACGCAGGCTTATTTATTTCTGTTAAATAACGTCTTAAACTGTAAGGTTAGTTTATGGATGTTAGAGACATCTGTAAGCTATATGAATCTTATCTAAATGATTTTCTAATTCCAAAAATATATTTATTTGCACAGTTGCCAATAAAAAGGGAAACGAGTAAAACGCTCTGGATGAATAATTCTAAAAAATATTCCTGAAAACAAATCAGTTTCTAAAAGCTGTTTTATTTAAAATTTTAAGAAAAACGTCCATATTTGATCTAACTGATGATGTTTTGTTAGACTGGGGTAAGGATTAAGCCCAGTTTGTGGATTAACGCGGCCTTTGGACAGATACAGCCCTCCAGGAACTTATTTTATCTTTTTAGCAAAATTTTTACACGACAAAGATAATTTATAGCTGAAAACCGCTGTTGGAGATGACTTCTATGGAGTTTTAAAGATTTATTAAATATTTATTGATAAATAAACTTGTGAAGTAGAGAATATCCTGTTCTAACTCTTCTCCTGTACATAAATCTACCTCTCATTGTAGCGCTCAAAACTGAGCTGGGGTTAGCACAGGTAACAAATTGGAGGACTCTAAATCTTATCTAACTTTTAAAGTCAACTGCCAATTATTACACATTTAGTTTGAGGCTTCAATTTCCTAACTTTTTTCCCCTCTACTCTGAAAAGTGTTAGCACAAAAGAATTTCTAAAAAGTGTTTAAAGTTTTTTTTAATCGAAATGCCAGTTATATAACTAAACTGATAGATTTCAATAATAATAAAAAAAAATTTGTTTGTTTTGACCTTTGAGCTTAGTCTATTTTAAATTCATAAGAGAAAATAAAAAGATGGAAATTATCATAGAAATAAGTGAAAGAAATAAACCGAGTTCAGCTACTTCGGTTAACCTTTTGATTTCAAATAATGACAGTTAAATAGTTCAACCACCTCTCTTACTCATCCTTAAACTCAGGATAAAAATAGAGGTCATTAATAAAAAACTGGTTATCAATTCATATAGTTCTCTCGTTAAATAGTTTTTAAGTAAAAAACGTAAAGTAAGGGAGGATTGCTACCGATGGCGTAACATTTTGATTTGGCTGCCGCCGACAATATTTGATGGCGGCGAATACCAACTGCTGTGGTTGCAACCTCTTAATGAAAAAAGAAATTATTTAGGAGAAGATTAGCTGGAAGAATGCGTTATCTATTCACATCGCAAATCTTCTTTCTCTTCTAATATGTAAGTTTTCCTTAGCATAAATAACTGAGTCCGCGATTTAAAATATTCGACTCGGGTCGTAATTCTTTAAACCCGGAATGCGCCAATTCCTATACCATGAAAATCCGCCAAATACGATATTACACCGGTTTTATGAACTCAACTCGGTGGAAAATAAGATGCAACTTAGATCCGAAAGCTCAAGCCGTAATAAGGCCCAACAACAGCTTAGACCTTAGTCGTATTTTCTTCATTTTTTTAATCGCCAGCTCTGCGAAGGTATTTTCATATGACCCAACATGGAAAAAGTGGAATATCTGATTCACATTATCTTGTCCTTTTTGTTGGGAATCGGATTTCTCCCTCTTAAAGGTTGTAAGCCTTATACGGCTTTGTAATTGTAGGTATTTTTTTTTTGGAAAGAAGGCATGAAAGTTTGTTTTTAAAGATTGTCCGTTAATTCATTAATGTATAACTTCCGGTATGTTAATTCATCTTTAATGTTGACTTCTATGGCCAGTCAATATTGAAATGTTGTATTCTAGAATATGATAAAAAATTCAATGCAACAACTCATACGTCAAATATTCCGAGAGACGGTTTTATAATTTATTTTACTTCATACAAACATTGAGAAAGAAAATACTATACGATCGATTTGCAAAATATAGTACCCCTAGATAACTATGATCGCAACGATCTTAAAATCCCTTGAACCGCTGATCGTAAAAGATCAACAAAATCATAACATCATTACAGTATTTATTATTTCACTCCCGGGGTTTATATTTTTCCCTCTTCCTTCTTGCTCTTTTCTTAAAAAAAATTTTTAAGATGCTTTTTGATTCGTTTAAAAATGTTTGATTTTTTTTCTCGCTAAAATGAAAATACATAAATTTTTATTAAAACATATCAAAAAAAACGTGAAAACTTAAACTTGACACATGATGACCATTATTTGATGACAATTATTATGTTTTAGTTCCCGTTTTGTACATAAACCATAAATGTTCCATAAGTTTCATCAATGCGCTTATCCTCTGTGCCATGTACAGCTGTCTCTTCATGAAACTGGTCAGCTATGTCCAGGTTATCTTTCTTTTTAATTTTTTTTTATATATTTTTTATTCAAATAATGTACAGAATCTGAACGTGATAATCTGTAAAAAGTGGAATGAATGTCGTCTCCGTTCTTACTTTTAATAAAAATGATACAGATGATTTTAATTATTAATTATACCTTTGAATCGTTTCTTGATTATTTAGAAGAAAATGTCGGTAATCTCTAGAAAAGATTCCACATTTATTATGTGGTAAGGGCAAAAAATATAAATGTAACGCAAGCTTCAAGCAGACTGAGCTTGGATTATGAATATTAAGATATGTTGTTGAAAGAAGTGGATTAACTTAGTCATTGTGGTTCAACTTTATCTCACTTTTCATTAAATCTGAGGCCGAATATAAAGAATTTGAGCCGCGGTTCATATTTAAGCCGCGGCTCAAGTATGGTTGGTTCTACTTAAAATATTTCAAGGTTAAAGCCGGCGCTCAATTGAAACCGGTTTTTGGGATATTTGAGACGCGGCTTGAATTCATTAAATTCGGACACTGGTTCCTTGTCGTAGATTTAATAAGTTGAAGACATAAAACTTCCCTAATGTTATCATTTTTGTAAGATTTTTTAAATTTCTGAACTAATTTTTAGGTAAACAAATGGTGTAGAGATGCCGTTATTAAAACCAATAAATCTGTGAAATGTGAAACTCCTAGGAAAGTTAACATAGACAGCACTTATCTCGATATCTTCTTTATAATAAAACAAGACATTCGTATACATATATATGTTGCCTATAGCCGGCCAAACGGCTGGACCGATTGGGCTAAATTTTTTTGTAGACACTCAGGGGTGGCCGGGGGGGGGGGGGTTATAGGCTAAAAAAACTCAAACATTTTTTTCTCAATATTTGAAAGAAAAAAAATTCCGCGGGCAACGCCGGGCTCTCCAGCTTGTATGTAATATAATACAGAGAGACTCATAAAATTGTGTAATAGGAAGACAATAACAGAAATACGATATTTAAGCAATCGAATGTTTATTTTTTTACAATTTGTTTGGAAAATCTACCTTTTTGAAATTTGGTTTTCCACACTGCTCAATTGCTGTTTTTTTTATGATCATTGGGTCAAATCTTAACTTATTTGTCTTCCAGTTTTCCAATAGTTTTGTATGAAAATCTACATTGGCTTGCACCAGGGGCGTATACAGGTATTAGTGAATATTTTTATTAAATGTCCATTAAACCTAACTTCTTCAGTTTATGTTGATTTATTGATCAGAAAACCTTCTGCTCTGACAAATGTTCCAGCAGCGGATACCAATGGTTTGCGGCGACGTCGTTTCTACAGCATCTCCCCGGACTCCATCAGTCCTGCTGGAGACGTTAAACCTTCTGGATCAGACTTGGATAATGTTAAACACAATCCTGGTTCACCTTCCCCGCTCCAATCCTCACTATCACCAGCAGCACTAGATTTATCTCAAGAACTCTCCGAAATGAAGAATAAGTTAGCAAGTCAAGAAAGAAAAGATGTAATTTATCCCGACAATCTTAATATTAGGGAAGCAAATACTTTTTAAAGGATTAAAATGATTTAGATGATTTAATTTGATGATTGGCGGGGAAAATATAACGGTAATAATATAACTGACAAAAATATAACAGACGATGAATATAACCAAACAAAAATATGACCATTTTCGACCAAAAATTAAACAATTTTTTTAGCCAAAAATATATATGTTTTCTAGCCCAAAATGTAACTATTTTATAGCCGAAAATAAAACTTATTTCGACCATTTAAAAAACAATATTTAAGCCAAATATATTTTTTTGGCTAAAAATTTAACTTTTTACACTAAAATTATAACAATTATAAACAGAACAGACCAAAAATATAACCATATTCGACCAATTATAGGTTTGTTTCGGCTTTGTCGAAACCACACACAAAAACCACACACACAAACCAAACACACAAGCCTAACACTCAAGCCCAACACCCAAACACCTAAACCAAACACCCAAAACAAACACCTAAAACAAACGCCCAATACAAACGCCCAATACAAACGCCTAAAACAAACACCCAAAACAGACACCCAAAACAAACACCTAAAACAAACACCTAAACCAAACACCTAAACCAAACACCCAAACCAAACACCCAAACCAAACACCCAAAACAAACACCCAAAACAAACACCCAAAACAAACACCCAAAACAAACACCCAAAACAAACACCTAAACCAAACATTCTAACCAAGCACTCAAAACAAACACCCTTAACAAGCCACCAAAACAAACACCCAAAACAAACCACCAAACAAACGTACACAGAGTGATTACTATTATTTATACTTCTCCCGTTAAAAGATATCGTTTTCCTCAAAAACTTACGATAATCTAATTATTACAAAACAATATTATATTTAAGTGTTTTAAAATTAAAAAGTCAATTTTTATGCTTCTGTTTCTAGAGATATTTACTACTTCTGGTTTGCACCGACTCTTTGTTATGAAATTAACTTTCCTAGAACAAGGTACAAAACATGAATTAAACCTTCAACATTCTACTACCCCCCTCCAAAACATGTTTTTAAATTCCAATTTTTCTTTTTTTCTTTGATATTATGATTTTATGATTGTCCAGATTTCATAATCTTATTTTAAGGAGATTTCGATTGAGTTTTCTAGTGAACCGAGTCCTTGAAATGATTTTTGGATTAATCATTTGCTTGAGCATCTTCCAACAATACTTGATACCCTCAGCTTTAAAGGTAGGGGTATACATTTTCTTTAAAAATAATTTTGTATATTTCGTTTAGCATAATTGAGAGGGGATTTTTTTCTTCTAATCTCTCCCCCCTTTCCGTGCATAGGAGGAAAATTCTTAGAGATAAAAATGTTATCCCTCTGTTTCAAGGCCCTGATACCGTTCTCCAAGATGGATCAGAACGTACCCCTGGCACTAGAAAGGATACTTAAGCTCGCGATCCCTAATCACTTGATGTGGTTGATCAGCTTCTACATTCTCTTCCACTCCTTCCTCAATATACTCGCGGAGATCCTTCAGTTCGCGGACAGAAGCTTCTTCCAATGCTGGTGGAACGCGACCAACCTGGAAATGTTCTGGAAGAATTGGAATCTCCCGGTTCACAGGTAGAATTTTACCAGGGGTATTTATTTTCTAGAAAATAATATTTTCCTCCACCCGTTATGACAAAAATCATTTTAATTGTTTTCTTCTTCTTTTTTCGTTTATTTTTTTTTCAAGAAACTTGATTTACTATCTAATGATTGGGAAGGTTTTAATGATATTGTTGAGAGCAAAAAGGGGGGTTTCCGCTGTATTAAAACTTTGCCACTTAGATTCACTTTTTTCTTACAACTGCTTTTCCTAGATGGTGTTTAAGACATGTTTATAAACCTCTGCTGTGCTCTGGGTTCTCCAAGGTTACTTCCATCCTGGCAGTTTTCTTTGTTTCAGCTTTTTTTCATGAATACCTCGCCTCTGTTCCTCTCAGGTTAGAAATTAATAGTCAACAGAAATATGTAAGAAAAATATTAAATCAATCAAATAAAACATGAAAAAAAATGTAATCCATGGATCCCAGAGGACGACTAAATACCATAGTGACCACTGACCACATTTATTTATTATAAAAACTCTCAAATTATTTTCAGGATGTTTAAAGTTTCGTTAGGGTTGGGTATGTTGGTGCAGGTTCCAATAATCTTCTTTTCAAGGTTTTATTTTTAATAACACTTTTTTAAAGAGATGTGCACAACCATTCACCACGGTACCCTTTAAAGGGACTGTTAACGTTATTTTAAGTGACCCTTCATGTAAAGATGGCAATGACCGATTTACCGATTGTTTATTTTCATTCGTGGTTTCTCTGCTTTTTGAAAACAATGGAGAAATTCACTTAAATTAACACTTTTCCGAGTCATCGAGAGTCATTCAAAATTACTTTTGCATTTCCTTTAGACATAATATAAATATTTTTTTAGAATTGTAGAGAAAAAGTGTGGTCCGAGGATCAGTAACATGATGATGTGGTTTTGTTTGATTATTGGTAATTTATAATTTTACCTTTTTAATGTCCTTTGGGATCATGATCCTTTGACTATAGGTTGAATGTTAATAATAATAATAATAATGTTGCTTTTCACGCCGCCATTTTTTCTTCGTACATCTTAAACTAACAATTTCGCGGATTTACTATTTTTTTCAAAACTTAAAGTCTCTAGTCTCTAGCTGGGGGAGTGATAGCAAATTAAAAAATAGTCAAAATAGTAAATTTCCCAAATGCCTGGGTATCTGGTAAATTTCCCAAATTCCCAGTGGTTTGGGGAATTACCCAAACATCAAGTCATTTGAGAAATATCCGAATTCTTAAAAATATACCACCCTCAAATTTGGGAAGTTTTGGGAATTCCTCAAATGCCTGGGAAGCTCGTAATTTCCCCAAATACATGGGAATCTGTGAAATTCCCAAATTCCTATTTTCTTCAAAAGTATTATCATGTCTCTAGCTTAATTAGCATAAAAAGGTTATTAAATAAATTACTCAATAATTTAAAAAATAGAGTTCTTTATTTCTTTCAATTTTAAGTAAAATTGTAACGACATTGATATTAAAAAAAAATATTATTAAGAAATATTTTTAATGGGCTATTCGGGGCAGACCGTCCAACAATAAGTCTCCTTCCGGGACAATGTGGGGCATTGTCCATGGACACGCTCGGTGGACAGGAGCGCCGGCCCCAACTTCACTGAACGACGGGTTGTCATTTAATAACAATTAATAATAATAATAACGGCAAATATTAACAATTATCTAAAGATTAATATATCTTATTTTTTAGGACACTCCGTGATCATCATGACGTACTTTCACGATTTTGTGGTTCTTCACTACGGAAGAGATCATATCGAGAGTTTTGGGAAATTACAAATTTAAATCATATTTTAAAAAGGAATTTTATTTTATATCAAGAGTATGTATGAATCTAATTAATTATTTACCTACTGTGATATGTTTTCAAGCTTTTAAATTTTATACGTTTTTTGAATTTTAAAATTTTATATCGTCTTACTCCATACGTTTGTGACTGAAGAAAAATAGAAAATTGGATAAATGGTACGCAAATCCAATATTTAATGGCGAATTATAATTTTCAGATGAATATGGGAGATGAGAGTAAGGTTGAGGAGAGCTTATTATCTATATCCTGGCATGACTCTGCCTGGATCCCGATCCTTAATCAGGCAAACGTCATGGATTACTTCTCAGAGAGATCAAATCCTTTCTATGACAGGTGATGAATAAATTTTGCTTCTCCAAAATAGCATTTTAATTTTTAACTAAAAAGACGATAAACATGCATTTTTGTAAATTGAGGCTTTTTCTCTAGTCTTAATTTCCTTTACGACCTTTTTTTATATAATAATTTAATACGTTTCTTAATATCTAATCAGGGGTGTATACTGTATATTTTCCGAAAAACTAATTAACCCCCCTCCCCCTTTTCCCTTTGAATATCATTTGTTTTCCTCCAGAGGCTAGAACCTAAATTAGGGAAAACGAATGGATTTTTGGGTAAACAGTTTTAAAAAGAATGAAAAAAGTTCCCTTTTGATGTTCAATTTTTATTTAATTTTTTCTTAAATCACCAAAATAATCATTTGGTGTGGGGTAATTCTGAGAAAAAATACACCTGCTTGCATTAAAATATTTTTAAAATTCCCTCAAGAACAATATTATTTCAGGACATGTAATAACGAAGTGTTGAAAATGCAAAAGCTCGGAGTAGCTGATGTTCAGCTTCAAAATATGCAGGTCAGTTTCTAGGGGTCAAACGTTCATAAACTAGGAATTTAAGCCAATAATACAAATATAAATTTTTTGCATTAGGAAATATTTTGTTGATGAATATTTTGCTTGGCTTTTTAGTAACCTTCCATTAGAGGCATGTTCGATTTTCATTGGTACCCTTCAAACCTTGGTTTGATCAAGGAAGACCAATTATAATTAATATTTTTTGAAGAATAAAGATGACGATATCATTGTTACTCATATGTAGGTTTAAAGGTCGCCATTGTGAATCAGACATGCCACTTTTTTTAAATAGAGGGTTCCTTTAAATTACGTCTTAAATTCCTTTAAGCGTTGAAAGTTCTAAGGATTATATATATATTGTTCAGGGAACAGAATTCCAGTTGCTGCATGTCCAAGAACCCATTCTTTACGTTATTAGAAAACAGACAAGACACTCCCCAACACAGGTTTGTACTGTGTACTGTGTACAGTGTACAGTGTACTGTGTACAGTGTACTGTGTACTGTGAACTGTGTACTGTGTACTCAACATTTTTACACAATTCATTAACTTATTTGACTTTAGTACATTTTAAAATAATATCCGTAAATAATTTAATAGAATTTTCGGCCTTCTTTTAAAAATATATACAAATTAGGTCATCTCGTTTTATAATTTTAGTATCACATTTTTCCTCCTAAGATTAGAGTTTCCAATCGGAATTCCGTTGCGCGGAATTGCGCGCAATAATTGCTCCCGCCTGCGCCATTTCATTGTAAGGAATTGCGCTATAATTGCAAGCAAGGAAGCAATTAAATATTCGCGGAATTGTGTGCATCGGAATTGCTTTTCCTGTAGTAACCTAATATGTTAGGTTACTTCATTATCAGATCATTAAATGGATTCCATTAAATATACAAAGTAATATGTTTTAGGTTACTCCATTATCAGATTACTATATAATAGCAGGAGTAGTCTATCAAGCACCTGATCTAAGTACACTTCTAAACTCCAGGTATATAGTTTTTAATCAATATTCAGGTATATAGTTTTTAATCAAGATTCAAAGTAACTGTGGACGTATAATTTCAAATGACCTTTTATTTAAAGAGTGACATACCAGATTCACAATGGTACATACTTCGGGCTGATATACTGATTCTATCTTGGAAGAGATTAATTCAGTAATATTTTATTACTGTCACTTCTTTTCGAAAAAAAGCAAGACAACAAACATGGAATATCCTTAATCTTAGAACGGTTTAATGAATACCGTTGTTTATGACGATGGGGCATGTGACTCTTTAAATAAAATGTAGACATTCGGCAATTCCAATAATCGCTGAAGTTTTTGGGATTGTATGCCTAAGTTTATCTTAGAATTTTTATGTGACAATTACCACTAAAAAAAGGGTTAGAAATTATATTTTTGCTTTTTGCAACAACAGCAAGTATGTTTTTTAAACATCTTTTTATGCATTGTTTTTAGGATAGTTTCTGCTGTATCTCATTTACAAGGAGCATTTGAAGAGGCCAGAGGATACTCTAGATATCATCCTTCCAGAGGTTATTGGTGGGACTTTGGGAAGGTATACTTGAAGATTTTCTCCAATTAAAAGAACCGCCGGCGTGTTTTCACTTTTATAAATTGCATTTTCATTTCACCTTCATTTCATCATAATTGTTTTTCTTATGAAAAGTGCTAAATTCTGACAATAACTTGAATTGTGTGTGTTGCATTAATCCCAGATCAATTTTTTATAAAAACCACATTTGGAACGTTATAAACCTCATTGTTTTTGCGAAAACAAATGTTTAAAGGGTATGATTTTGCATTGGGCATGCATTTTTTTAATATATATTTTTTTTATTTCACTTTTAATATTATTTTCATTTTATCATGTTTTTTTTTTAGCTATAATATTCAATCTTAAAACTTGTGAATATTTAAGGATAAGGATAAGGAAAAGAAGGCTGCGAAGGTGCAAAAGAAGAAGAAGGAGGAGCCGAGTAGTCTCTTCCAGAGAAGAAGAGTTGATATGCTGCTCGACCATCTTACCAGACAGTTTCCTTTCAGGGTTAGTACAGCTAAACAGGACAAAGTTAGTAAAGTACGAAGTTCATTGAACAAGCAATTATCTTTTCGAATAAATTAAATTTTTTATTTTGTGAGTTACTAACTGTATCTTATGTCTTATCTTAGCAAATTACCAAGTTAGTTAAGTACAAAGTCACTAAAGTTGGTACCTTAGTAAAGTTATTACTTTATAAAAGTGCGAAGTTAGTAAAGTTGGTACCTTAGTAAAGTACGAAGTTAGTAAAGTTGGTATCTCAGTAAAGTGTGAAGTTAGTAAAGTTGATATCTTAGTAAAGTGCGAAGTTAGTAAAGTTGATATCTTAGTAAAGTGCGAAGTTAGTAAAGTTGATATCTTAGTAAATTACAAAGTTAGTAAAGCTGGTACCTTTGTAAAAGTACGAAGTTAGTAAAGTTGGTATCTTAGTAAAGTGCGAAGTTAGTAAAGTTGATATCTTAGTAAAGTACGAAGTTAGTAAAGTTGGTACCTTAGTAAAGTACGAAGTTAGTAAAGTTGGTATCTTAGTTAAGTGCAAAGTTAGTAAAGTTGATATCTTAGTAAATTACAAAGTTAGTAAAGCTGGTACCTTAGTAAAAGTACGAAGTTAGTATAGTTGGTACCTTAGTATTATTATCAAGAATCAACCTACAGTAACAAAGTACCACGACCTGTAAACGGGGTTGAGCTCCCCCACTTGCCCTGGTCTAAATGGATTATGGGATCTAGTGGTTCACGAAATTAGTAAAGTTTGTACATTAGTAAAGTGCAAACAAGTTTTAAATCAGGGGTTTACCAAGGTCAACTTTTTGTGAAATTATTGAAAAGACTTTTAAGGTTCTAATTGACGAGAAAAATCACGTCTTTAACCAAAATTCAGTTGGATCCTGATCACATTCCTGTTTTTGTCTGATAAAACTATTGTTGATGGATTAATATAATTTAACTCAAATGATATTTTAATCAATGTTATTTTCTTTTGAAGGTTCTAATATTTTGCTATAGAAATAAAAGTGTTAGTTTGATTGGTCTTTTAAAAATTTAATTTTTAATTAACTTTATATATTAGACTCCTGCTGCCCTGGAGGGGAAGATGGAGGAGGTGGAGGGTGAGGGGGAGAAGGATGCCGAGGTGGAGGACCAGGAAGAGGAGAACTCTGTCAAGACCGAGGGGGTGAAGAGGGAAAGGGAGAAGGACGGGATCAAATCGGAGAATAAACGGTTAAAACTGGAAAGATGAACGTGGACGACAGTATTAAAGAGAGAGTCAATCAAATCTAAAGAGTGAGTAAAATGAAGAAAAAGCATTAAAGTTAGATGTCGAATTGTTTATGGTTTTTATTGAAATCTTTGTCCGATGCTTGTTTTAAAGGATTTTAGGAAACCCATACTCATTCCACAATCTTCAGAGGCTCTTAAGTGCTGTACTACTCGAATGGTTTATTTTTTACCAGGCTACATTTAGTTTTATAAAAACCATGTTTCTACCCATATCTTCTTTTATTATTAAACACCCCACCTTAGAGAATAAATTTTTATGTTTTATATTGTATTACAGAAAAATGTCTAAATTGCTGGGATTAATCGATTCTGTGAATGGGCTTCCCGACCCTGCTAAAAAACGGTAAAGAAGTTTAAATTTTTTTATTACATCCTAGTAGAGGCACCCGGCGTTGCCCATTCTCAACCTGTTTTGTTCGGGTGGCTGTGTGTTCCATTAGCATTTTTTAACTCAAAGAAGACGACCTTCTGTGCAGTGCATAGGATCCTTGGGGGAAAATCTCAACCAAAGCCTGCTAAAACACAAATATCCATTGTTAACAAATATGTGTTTAATAAAAACTTATTAAAAAGAAAACAATTATCTTAATGGTTAATTAAGTTTCAGAATAAAAATAATTTACAAATTTTAATTTGACTTGTTATAAATTCAAAAAATATCATGCACATAAATTGTGCGGTGTACCATATGTTACTAAATATATTGATATGAAATACAAGCATTATAACCAGATCCAATACACACAAGATTCCTTGGGTTTCACCGGAAAAGCTGTACTGCATGATAATATCCAGGGTGTCCGCTGTACTGGGTAGTATTGTAGCAGACGCTGCTTCTCTACCGTTAGAATGGATTTACAAAGATTCTACAATGAAGGTAGCAGCCTTAAAGGGAGTGTTCGCGAAAAAATAAAGGGTATATTTAGGCTTACGTCGAATAGTATTCAACGGAACTTAAAGTTATTTAAAGTAATCATGCTCTCTTCTGAAATATTGGCCTCAATTTTCTTACAAATATTTGTAACTGTACTGGCGTAATTAAATCAGGAATTAAAAATTAAACTTACTGAAGCCTATTTTGATCCTGTTTTTATATTCCTGAAATTGAAATTACGCATACAGTTCCTTTAAAAGGATTATCTGTTCAGGCTAAAACGCAAATACTTTCCCCCTCCTACCAAGCTACCGATAAAACTTTAAAATCTTGAAAATTATTTATTTGTTTCTTAAATAGGAGATTGTTGGTGATAATAATCCGGAATTCTGGAAAGAATGCAAGTGTCCTTTTTTCACTGTTCCAATGGGACATAAAAGGTTTGCATAATTAAAACTTAATTTTTGCTACAAACTCGGATTTTCTTAGCAACCCAATGTCGCTGACCCTTAAAATTTCAAACTAAATTCTGTTTGATATAAAAGTTTGAAATATAAAAGGTTTAATTTTGTAGTTGTTATGGCGACGAGATGGCAAATAGTTTAAAAACTTTGGCGGGCAACGACGGACAGGTATATTTTTTATCATAGCAGTTTAAATATGACAATTATGTCTTTTTCCCGCTCAGCATTATTGCGGTAACACAATTTAGAAAACTGTCCGAAGTCAGTACTTTAGTGTTGTGAATCATGGGATCAAGCATTCATCTCCTCAAGTCCATTTTCCATCCTCTGGAGACTAGCAAATTCATTAAATTTCTTCTCGATATTCTCAATTCTAAGGAGTATACCACATTGGATTTCGTGATCAAGCAATCATCTCCTCAAGTCCATTTTCCATCCTCTGGAGACTAGTAAATTCATTAAATTTCTTTTCTTTCTTTCAGTTCTAACAGTATACCACATTGGATATCATGATCAAGCATTCATCTCCTCAAGTCCAATTTTCCATCCTATGGAGACTAGCAAATTAAATTTCTTCTCAATATTCTCAATTCTAAGGAGTATACCACATTGGATATCATGATCAAGCATTTATCTCCTCGAGTCCAATTTTCCATCCTATGGAGACTAGCAAATTAATCAAATTTCTTTTCGATATTCTCAATTCTAAGGAGTATACCACATTGGATTTCGTGATCAAGCGTTCAAACAAATTTGTGAAAATGTCTAATATCTTCGTCAATTTTGACGATACAAAGAAGGCAGACCACATTTTGAAGCCCTAATAAAACGTACATTTTTTTTAATACTTTTTGCTATTTTTCAATTATTTGAGATCAGAGACGTTTTTAAAGTCGTTACTTAAATCCAATGTTTATTATGAGGAAAACCTGTATTAATATTTGTTTTTAAGGTTGACCTCAAGAAAATATCATCCGCTCTAAAAGCCTTTTATGGTTCTCCGGACAGTCCTTACCAGGCCGCACTGGCACGCCGGGCAGATAAGAAGTATCCTGTTGAGGGGCCTTGGATTAACGGGGGAGTAATACAGTTCTTGAAAAATTCTAGCGCAGGACAGGTGCCTCCAGGGTCCGCGGAATGTGAGGATAATGATGGGTTTGCGCTCAGTCTACCAGTCTTCCTTAAGGATTCTACTCAAGTAATATTTGCTAATAATTTGAACAGACTTTTGACAATTGTAAATAGTATCATAAACGATTTTGTTGATTTTATATTTGATATAAGTTAGGAAATATTATATTTTAATCTGGACAGTAAAATGAGTTTCTTGTGACATTTTATTTTACCTGATACCATGACAAAAATGAGAAAAATTAGTTCTGCTAAAGTGGTGCTCGCCAAGACTTATTGCTAAGGCTTTAAAAAAGAAGTAGTCTTGAAAGTCTTTGTATTCAAAGTGACTTATTTACATCAGTACTCCTTGAACCTTTATCTGATCGATAATGTGAAAGATATCGTCGTTTTTGAAGCTTGAAAAGCGTTAACTTGAAAAGCATTAACTTGAAAAGCGTGAACTTGAAAAATCCACAATTTATTCTTGAGCAGAAATTTATAGAATAGAAGACCCACAATTAAAATAATCCATTCTCAAAGTTTAAAACATGGATATCTTACTTATTCTTGATCACACACTTTGACACCGTTGTGAATCGGACATTCCACTCTACAAACGAAGGGTTACTGGAAATTACGTCTACACACTCTATAGTCTGTATTAATAATTAGCCTCTTTATTCACGTTTGCCGCTAGTTCAAAAAATAAAAGGGGAGAAACAAATCTTCCATTTTGATGTATTACATTTAGATTAAAGAAGTTGCAGAGCTGCTTACAACGAATCCCATGGTTCTTCAACATCTGGCGGTTCAAACCAGGATCTTAAAACATTATCTGGAGGGTACAGAGGATCCTGTTAGAGTATCACAGTCGGAGCTTAAAGATAAGTTTCCAGAGGTCTGTCAAGAAATTCAGGAGGTTGCAGATGCGGTGAATGCGAAGAGTTCATTAGGTTGGAAAATTTGACTAAAAGTTGGCCATTGGGTACTGTGGTTGTAAATTATTTTCAAATTTAAAATTGTGTTAAATTATAGCAATTTCTATTGTGTATTTTTTAGCAAGAATTTTTTTTTTTTTCAGAGAAACCACAATCAAAAGATAAATTTTTAACGAGAAAAACATAAATCTCTAATTTATTCTTGATCATGTCAAGTTTTGCCAACCTTTTAAATGTCTCAGTTCTTTAAAAAAAAAAAATAGTTTTAATCGGCATTTTTCGTGAAATATTTTTTATTTTACAAAGTTTTTCTTGCTAGGTGATATTGTTGAACAGTTTGGGAAAGCATGCGGTCTACCAGGCTCATTTCAAGGATCTATTGCCGCGTTACTTATCCACAATGATTATGTCGGGTAAGAAATTGCCTTTGTTTTTTAAATATAAATTGACGGCTCCGGACTCCAGAGCCTATTTTGGAAGCTGACCATTTTTAATGATTTATTAGCAAAATCATTTAAAATTGTCCCTAAAGAAATTGCCTTAACACTTAAGTTTGGTCAACAATTTTAAGATATTTGTCTCCATTTTTTACTTCAATATGGTAGGAGGGACATTAACATTTATATTATTATTTTTTTTAGGGTGGGTACAAAACGTCTAGTTTCAAAACGCCGAATAATAAAACGTCGAACACTACAAAACTTCGACTTCTACAAAATGTCGACAGTTAAAGAATGCTCCTATTTTAGTGCCTTACCCAAACATAACAATTAAAACATAAAAATTATGGTTGGAAAATTTAGTTTTCAGACGTTTTATAGCAGTCGATCTTTTGTAACTAAGGCATAATGTTATTCGACATTTTGGACCCACTCCTTTTTATTATTATTTTCAATGTTATTTTTATATTCAGTGGAGTGCGTGGAACGATACTAGCTGGAGGAGATTGCTGTTCTAGAAATTTATTCGTGGGGGCGTGTCTAGCTGCCAGGGGCGGAGTAAAGGTTAGTTCAAGAAATATATTGGGGGGGGGCGTGTCTAGCTGCCAGGGGCGGAAATCCAAACCAATTGATACAATTTGTGATATTATCCAAAGCCGAACTTATAAAAGTATTAATTTATGACAATTATTTCAGAAATCCAACTTAAATCAAAATGGCGCCAAATCTCGAGAGAATGTACGAATGCGGAGATCTCCTCGCAAATATCAAAGATAAATCTCATGCACAGGTAAGATTTAAAGGGACTGTAAAGGAAAAATACCGTATTGGATGAAACCTGAGAATCTCAGACGTTGAACGATACATATAAGACATCTATCTGATGTTTCTGTCTCAAGAAATTGATATTAAACTGTGTCAAAGTTATACGAAAGTTCATATATATGCAATTTTGTATAAAAGTTGTAGTATAAAACTGATCATATTCCACAAATACGAAACCAATAAGAAAACGACGATATCACACAGAAACCTGAGAATCTCAGGTTTGCTCCTGTTATAATCATTTAATTTTTATTTTGAATTTTTAATAGAATTGATAATATTATTGCATATAGTCCGTATTACGTCACCATAACTTCAGCCAATATCAGTGCAGTATACTGGTCACGTGATTTCCGCCTGTATCACGTAACCAGTATACTACATTCTCATTGGCGGAGGTTCATATGACGTAATACGGACTTTTAAATAATCTTATCAATTATATCTACTAAAAATGCAGAATTAATTTCATTTTTCCTTTGCAGTCCCTTTAAAGGGACTATAGGCGTAATTTCTAGTGATTCTCCATGCAAAGATGGCAATGCCCTATTTTCAAGGGTACACTTGAAACCTTTGTCTGATCAAGTATGAAATCAGATATGCATGAATTTGTTACTTTAATTTGTGGTTTCTTTAAAAAAGTGACTTGCGTATTTCTTGATGCTAAGAAACAATGAAGAAATTCACAGAAATAGAAATTTTTCGAGCCAGTAAATCGACGTTATCTTTGATGAAAGTACGGTTTCAAGGGTACTGTTGTAAATTGGGCATTACTATCTTTGCATGGCGAGTCACTTAAAATTATGCTTTCAGTAATTTAAAGTAACCCTTCAGCTTAAGATAATATTAAAACCGGGAAATAATGAAGATATTGTTGTTTTTCTATTTTAAAGTGTTATATTCTCACAACTTTTGTTAAACTCGATTTTTAAAATAATTTTTTTTTTCAGCACTTGAGTGAGTATGAAGAGATTATTAGTGGGGTGAAGGGAGATGACCAATGTAAGCGTCTTGCCTCTCAATTCATCGCAAGGTATGCCCCCCCCCCACACTTCTTTAAATACACAGCCAAACTATGATTTTCAAAAAGCTCAAAATCCATATCTTTCCTTAATAATATTATAAAATAGAAGTGGTTAAACAAACAGTTATTTCCATATTGCCATAATGTCTAGCTTAAATTCCTGGTCTAATAACTAGGTTATATTCCTGATTTATTATCTAGGTTCTATTCCTTCTATCTTGATCTATTATCTAAATTCCATTCCTTCTACTCTGATCTATTATCTAGGTTCTATTCCTTCTATCCTGATCTATTATAAAGGTTCTTTTCTTTCTATCCTGATGTATTATCTAGATTCTATCCTGATCTATTATCTAGATTCGATTCCTTCTATCCTGATCTATTATCTTGGTTCTATTCCTTCTATTTCGATCTATTATCTAGATTCGATTACTTTTATCCTGATCTAATATCTAGGTTCTATTCCTTCTACCCTAATCTATTATCTAGGTTCAATTCCTTCTATCCTTATCTTTTATCTAGATTCTATTACTTCTATCCTTAACTATTATCTAGATTTTATTCCTTCTGTATCAATCTATTATCTAGATATATTCTATCACTTCTATCCTTTCCTATTATCTAGGGTTTACTCTTTTCATTCTGATCTATTATTTAGGTTTTATTCCTTCTATCCTGATCTATCTGAGCAGAGTATCAACGCTATCCTGGATCTATGTGAGGATATTAACGTGGATATCAGGAAGCAAGCGATCAAGGTTGGTGGGATAATTTCTCAAATGACCAGAATAGCACACAAGACACGAGACTTAGTAAACACTTCATATTTTCTCAACAAAGAGTCGTCATTAAACTAAATAAGTCCTAGAACCCACAAAAAAGTAAAAACTGAAAGACCAGAGAGACCCAAACGACTGAAAAGACACGATGCACCACCGTAAAGGACCTGAAAGACTGCAGTGGACTTCATTATCAAAACGTCAAACATCGTGTCAGCGAGTAATCAATCATTATGTCACTAAACTAAACTATTATATTTTTTAAGGATTTGCCAACACTGTGTCGTGACAACAACAAGACAACCTTAGCTAAGATTGCTGATGTTCTAACTCAGGTCTGTAGTTTCATCAATAGTTAATAATAGATTAAGTTGTTAGGATTTAGAATATTTTCAGTACTTTAAATAAATAGTGAGTACGGAGGCTTCAACTTTTGTGCGTGATACATTCTTTTTTGTTTCTGTTATCTATATAATTTACATTACTAGCAATAAGACCTTATTTCATTCTTGATTTAATAAAGTCACTTCGATTTTGAAGCGTGGCTGGTAGGACCTCCTTAGCAGCCTGATTTGATTTGATTTACCATTCGTTTTATTTCTTTGATACAACTTTGGATTTGATTTTTTTAAATGAAGAAGTAAGTAAAAACGTGCGTATAAACTTCAGTATGAACATATTCTAAGTATCTCTTAACATTCTTTAAACAAATTTTCTCGAAGTGCTAATCACATGATGAATAAAATCGATTTTGCGTACCTAGTCGACTTAAGGTCGATTCATGAGGACTTAAATCTTCTCGCTGATTCCTTGTCGGCCATTTTATTTTTTCCGAAGCTAACTGGCGGATTTAAAGAAAATGAATATTTCAGCTGTTGAATACTGAAGACCAGGGGGAGATGACAGTTATACAGAACTCTCTGATGAACCTTTTCAGGAGGGACCCACAGGGGGCCGTCATGGGCATCTTCTCACAGGTTTTGAACTCATTTGGTTTAGACACAAATTTAATTTTTTTGTTTGTTTCATAAATGGTTTCTTGCAGTTTTATACATGTTTCTTTGCAAAAGTATGTCTCATTCTTTGTGGGTAACCCTGTATTTATGAACTTAATCTCACAAAAATTATATCGAGTAAAACTAAAAACTTTTTGGAATGAACAAAGTTTTTCTTGTGTGGAAAGACTAGCGAAGATTTTGTTTGTTTTGATTTCTTTTACTAAACCCATTATAACAGAATAAGATGCTTGACACTTCCTGAGACCGAATTTACTGAAAAGCAGAAAATAATTGGACTACGCAGACTAACTTGAACCATCTCCCTTAAATTTGAACCAGCTCACAAGAGAAGGGGTCTGGTCTACGTTGTTCAACACTGTTTCCAATTCATAAAATTCGGACCTTGGGAAAATACTTTTAGCTCAACTTCTTACTACTCCAGGTTCATATTGGAGAGGATGTAGTTCGTGAGCGCGCACTACGCCTGCTGCACACTAAGCTGACCACCGCGGGGCAGGAGATTTTAAACAAGGAGGCGCAGGCGCAGATTGTTGCTGAGGTCAAGAAGGTCTTTGCCTCGGTGAGTATAGTCAGATCTTTACTCAAAATGATTCAGGGGACGAAAGTTCCAAACTGTGCTTATGGTTCAAAACTGACATAAATGTCTGGTTTATGTTTTTTGTCATCTAATCAACGATTTCAGAATTGCTCAGGGAATTTTTCAACAGCAAAAAATATTAACATTAAATTAACATTTAATTGTCTTCTTTGGACAGAAATCCCTTTTTTGAACCATCTTTTCCTATATTTTTGTGAAATCTAAAGGATCACCATCAGGCTGAATCTTAATTCATAATAGAAAAGTCGAAAGGTTGTTTAGTAATTAGATATAAAAAGTGGAATATGGCTTTAATAAAAAACGCCATGCATTAAAAAATATTCACAAAAAAGTGGAAGAAGAAGAGAGACAATATTATAAGATGAGATGCCCAAAAAATTAATATTTACTTTAAAAACTAGAATTAGATGAACGATCAGTTATTTTTGTTTATTTTATATAATGTAAGCACAAAAAAATGCTAAGAAATGAGTTCTGACATTGTAATACTTCTCAAAATTTTGTTGAATCTTTAAAAGTCCAAGAAGTTTAAAAGCCTTAACAAAAAACGAATCTTAATGCCAACACTAGCTGTTGGCATTGCTGGGATATAACTATTCCACTGATTATAAATGATCGTATAGTAGAATGGATTAACAGCTGATGAATTTCCTCGACTGATTGCACTGCAAAGATATAACTATCTGACTGATAATAAATGATTGTATAGTAGAATGGAGTAACAGCTGATGAATTCCCTCGACTGATAGCACTGTTAAGATATATCTATGACTGATTATTTGATTTTATAGGAGAATGGAGTAACAGCTGATGAATTTACTCGACTGATGGCACTGCTAAGATATATCTATGACTGATTATTTAATTTTATAGGAGAATGAAGTGACAGCTGATCAATTCCCCCGACTGATGGCTGATTATTTGATTTTATAGGAGAATGGAGTGACCGCTGATGAATTCCCCCGACTGATGACTGATTATTTGATTTTATAGGAGAATGGAGTGACCGTTGATGAATTCCCCCGACTGATGACTGATTATTTGATTTTATAGGAGAACGGAGTAACAGCTGATGAATTCCCCCGACTGATGGCACTACTGGGGCATACAGGGTTACCTAAAACGTTTGCTGGGCAGCTTGAAATTGTTAACATGGTAAATATCGGTTTTGTCATTTTTGATCAAAAGAAAAAGTTTCCCAAGATGGTTTATTTCTTGCAAAGTATCATCATATTTTGGCAAAAACTATAGGAAAACCTTTATTTTTACTTTTATTGAATTTATTGAACTGATTACTCCCCTTTAACTCTATATCCTTATATCTGACTAACCTGATGGCGTTTACATCCATGTGATGTCTTGAACATTAAGTTGCTTAAAATATAAAGTTTACACCATAAGGTTTCAAAGATATTTGGATTAGTAACTATCCTTAGTGATTACATTTCCATCTCTGTATTTAGATTATGGGGATGGCAGAGTTAGACAAGACCGCAGATTTTGATTATACCAGCGTCGAACTCACAGATAGACTCCTGCAGTGCGCTCAACATTGTCTACCTTTCTTCTCTACAGGGGTAATTAGTTTCTACCTTTCTTCTCTACAGGGGTATTACTTTCTACCTATCTTTACAGGGGTAGTTAGTTTCTTCCTTTCATCTGTACATGGGTATTTAGTTTCTTCCTTTCTTCTCTACAGGGGTAAATATTTTCTACCTTTCTTCTCTACAGGGGTAGTTAGTATCTACCTTTCTTCTTTACAGGGTTAATTAGTTTTTTACCTTACTTCTCTGTAGGGGTAATTAGTATCTACCTTTCTTCTCTATAGGGGTAATAAGTATCTACCTTTCTTCTCTACAGGGGTATTTAGTTTCTACCTTTTTTCTCTGCAGGGGTAATTAGTTTCTACCTTTCTTCACTACAGGGGTAGTTAGGTTCTACCTTTCTTCTTTACAGGGGTAATTGGTTTGGTATGTTTGTTTTTTAAATAAACTTCAAACGGCTGAACCAAATTTCTTGTGATATCTAACAATGTGTTTGAGAGACTGATTGACAATATTACAGAATGTGTTTGAGAGACTGATTGACTATATTACAGAATGTGTTTGAGAGACTGATTAACTATGTTACAGAATGTGTTTGAGAGACTGATTGACAATATCACAGAATGTGTTTGAGAGACTGATTGACTATATTACAGAATGTGTTTGAGAGACTGATTGACAATATTAACTAATGTGTTTGAGAGACTGATTGACAATATTACAGAATGTGTTTGAGAGACTGATTGACTATATTTCAGAACGTGTTTGAGAGACTGATTGACTATATTACAGAATGTGTTTGAGAGACTGATTGACTATATTACAGAATGTGTTTGAGAGACTGATTGACTATATTGCAGAATGTGTTTGAGAGACTGATAAACTATATTACAGAATGTGTTTGAGAGACTGATTAACTAAATTACAAAATGTGTTTGAGAGACTGATTGACTATATTACAGAATGTGTTTGAGAGACTGATTAACTATATTACAGAATGTGTTTGAGAGACTGATTAACTAAATTACAGAATGTGTTTGAGAGACTGATTGACTATATTACAGAATGTGTTTGAGAGACTGATTAACTAAATTACAGAATGTGTTTGAGAGACTGATTGACTATATGCCCCTCCCTCCTGTGGAAGAGGATGGGTCTCTAACTGAGCCTCCAGCAATTGAGTTTACCAAGGTATTAGATACAAAACCTTTTTCACTAACAGGTTCTGAAAGTATATATGGATTTGATGATAACTGGTTATGACTACGTTTACATCCGCCTTTATTGAATATTGATCATCTAGTAACAACTGGTTTTATTTATTGCTTCATATTTCACTGTATTGGTAAACTAGTTATAACTGGTTTTATTTAGGTTGAGTGCTTGATGTTTACATTTCATTGTATTGGTAAACTAGTTATAACCGGTTTTATTTAGGTTGAGTGCTTGATGTTTACATTTCACTGTATTGGTAAACTAGTTATAACCGGTTTTATTCAGGTTGCGTGCTTGATATTTTACCGTATTGGAAAACTAGTTAAAACTAGTTTTATTTAGGTTTAGTGCTTGTGATTACTGTATTTGTGAACTAGTTAAAACTAGTTTTATTAAGGTTGAATGCTTGATGTTTACATTCCACTGTATTGGTAAACAAAGTGACGTGTTCTTGAAGGAGGATGAGGAAAGACTAAAAGATTTTAGGATAAGACTTCAGTACCTAGCCAGGTAAGATTGGCCCACAAATGCTGGGTCAAAGGATCAGTTTCTTTGTCCCCCTACTTTAGGTTGATGGTTTATCTTTCGACCTACGCAATTCCGCTATACTCCACTTCTGACCTACGCCAAACCACTATACTAAACATCCGACCTACTATCACGTGATTTACATAGGCTAGATGGACTACTGGCCGTAGCGCCCGGCCCCCTAGCCTGTTCTAGTCTATCCTTGTCGCGGCGCTCGGTCCCCTAGCCTCTCCTAGCCACAGCGTTCGGCCCAGAAATTGTCTTAACTTAACTTAACCCTCAAATAATACAAAAATAAACAGCTGGCGTAGGTCCGATATTGCAGTAGGACGGAAAGTTAGTAGGTCAGAAGTTCAGTAGGGGGATATTGCGTATGGACTAAGTAACATTGCCCTTTAAGTTACATTATTGTTTCTCTCTGACAGTACACAAGGTCGAACTTAGGTAGAGCGACTGAGAAACTGAACTACTATTATTCATATAATGCGATAAGTTCTACGAATATTTTGATAAAATTACCTAAAATCAATCAGACAAAATTCCCTTAAAAGGAGAGAATTAATAATAATTAAAATTCAAATGTTGGAAGAAAATAAATTAAATTCAAAGCATTTAATTAAATCTTTTTTCTGGTTTAGTTATTTTTAACTTTAAAAATAATTATTTATAGAATTTTAATAATATCGCTGGAATTAATAAATGGGTTTATAATATTTTGAAAAATTATCTCAGCTTCACGTTTAGGGGGGGGGGGTGTGATTTTGGAGTTTTGAGGGATGACAAATGGGGAATTCTCTCTTGATATTTAGTCAAAAAAAATCTAATTCAGCTTTAAAATAATTGCAAAATGAAAACATTGATTATATACACTACAGTATCATTACACATGTCATGCTAGCTCAGTAATCCATGTAACTGTGAAAGGTACTAGGGACTGTGGGAGAGGGTTGGAATGATTTTGAAGAAAATATACACTCCACAGCTGGGAACTTTAGAATGGATAACCTTTAATTCCAACTACTTAATTTGAATATCCACTGTAGAAACTTTTAATTTTATTCCTTAATCCACTCTTTTTCTCTCTCTATGGATATCTTTACATTGTTTTCTCCAATGAGAGTGTAGAAATAGAGTTCGTAAATTGTATTGACCAATGATAGTCTTGAAAATAAATTCTATCCCATAAGAGAAATCCGCAATTTTATAAATGTCGTCGGCCATTTTGTAAATTAATCGGTGAAGAAAAATCTGGAGTTCCTAGAATCAAATTTGTTGGATCTAAATATTAATCTGGAGACTAACAAAATCTCGAGATTATGTTGGTCTCCAAATTAGCAAAAGGAGAGGATTAAGCGTTAATCCTGATATCCACCATTCTAAAGTTCCCAGCTCTGAATGAATATTGTTGTGTTCAGAGGTGTGACAGGATACTTGAAGAAGTTAAAGGAGTTCTTCAATTCTCCTGCTGGTAAGAAAACAGATTCTGAAGATGTCAAGATTAAACAGATTGCTCTCCGCTCAACACAGAACCTTCAGGTAACAATTTTTATTATTTATTTAAATATTAGATAGAGACTTAATCATTAATCATGTTAAATTTTATTGTATTGGTATTTAGATAATAGACAGAGACATATTCATTAATCATGTTAAATTATATTGTAATGGTATTTAGATAATAGATAGAGACATATTCATTAATCATGTTAAATTATATTGTATTGGTATTTAGATAATAGACAGAGACATATTCATTAATCATGTTAAATTATATTGTATTGGTATTTAGATAATAGATAGAGACATTATCATTAATCATGTTAAATTATGTTGTATTGGTTGTATTTTCTTGTTTTCCATGTACTGTACTGTACTGTACTGTAATTTAATGTACTGTAATGTACTGTAATCTACTGTACTGTACTGTAGTGAACTGTACTGTACTGTACTGTACTGCACTGCACTGTACTGCACTGTACTGTAATTTACTGTACTGTACTGTACTGTACTGTACTGTACTGTACTGTACTGTAATGTACTGTACTGTACTTTAATGTACTTTACTGTAATATACTGTACTGTAATGTACTGTACTGTAATGTACTGTACTGTAATGTACTGTACTGTCCTGTAATGTAAGCTGTACTGTAATTTACTGTACTGTACTGTACTGTAATGAACTGACTGTACTGTAATGTACTTTACTGCACTGTACTGTAATGTACTGTAATGTACTGTAATGTAATGTACTGTAATGTACTGTAATGTATTGTTCTGTTCTGTTCTGTTCTGCTCTGTTCTGTTCTGTTCTGTTCTGTTCTGTTCTATATTGTGTTTTATTGTATTGTATTGTAGTAAAAATAAAGTCATGTTTTTCTACTGAAGTAAAAGAATTCCAGTTTGGATATTGTTGTAGATGATGATCAAGGACCTGTTCCACACTCCACCCCACTACAAGGTGGTCATCTCCCTCTCTTGGAAGGACGGGAAGGAGAAGATGGCAGAAAAGAGAAGACTCATTTCAGCTCCTGCTGCAAATGGTAATATTATAAAATAATCATATTTAAATTTATAAATAAGAAAATTTAATTAATTTTCAAATTTTTACCCATTATTAACCCTTTAAAACTTTATTGGTAATTTGAAAGTGATAAATGCTTTAATAGATCAAACTTGGTCGTGTGCTGGAACCTATTTTAACAATGATATGGCTGAAGAAAATAAGTTCATAAAGGACTTGAATCTCCGTTCTGAAACTTGGAAGGTGTTTGCAAATCTCCACATTTTTTATTTGATTTGACTTTAGGATCCAGTTAATAAAGATATTTATGTTTAGGTGCTGGGTTAAAGAAGCCCAAGACAGCTGACCGCCAGCTGTACATGGATTCTCTAAACCAGAAGAAGGGTGGGAAACCAGTTCCTGCAAAACCTACCATCTCCAACTACAAACCTGCCGGTCGTGTGGCCCGACCCACTGGTCTCTACCAGCCTCCCACCGGACAGTATAGCGGCAAAATCAAGAACAAAATCACTTGGGATTAGTTTTAGACGCTCCCTCTCCTCTAACTGTCAGTAGCATGATTTTTAAGACATTTTTGGACACTAACTTCCCTTCACCCGGGGAGTGTTCCTCCTCCTAGTGAAATGAACTGTTCTCGGGGGCACCCCCTCTTTCCTAACAGATTTTTTTGTAATTGTTAGGGCACATTCTCCTCCACCAATCCCCCGCCGCCATACCCGGCGGATATTGTTCCTGTTAGTGACATGAACTGTAATCGGGGGCACATCCTCCGCCCCTTTCCCAGTTCCTCTCTGTAAATAGATGCAACCTGACAGTAGTGTACCTGAGACTTAAACTCTCTCTGCGCTCTTGAGACTAATCTAAAATCATAATTATTTTACAGGTAAGACAGGTAAGTATTGTATTTTTTAAATATTTTTTCAGATTATGTTCATCACGTTCCTCTTCAATCAGCAGACTATAATTTTGTCGAAGTCGTCTTCACTTCCCACTGATCTTCACGTGTAATCCGCAACTGATCAACATGTGTAATCTGCAACTGATCTAAACGTGAAATCCGCAACTGATCCATACGTAAAATCTGCATCAGATGTTCACGTGGAATTCTCAAGATGCGTTAAGCTTTCTTTTCCTTTGTTGTTTAACAATAGACAATTGTACAGAATAAATAGTGAAAATTGTTTTTGTGGAACACAGCTTACTTATCATCACATTTTTTTTTCGTAAAATACACGTTTGATTAAGTGTGCTATTTTGTCATTTTTTCAGATGCGCAGATAAATTTAAAATGCTAGAGGATACCTTGGACCCGCTCTGTATCATTGTGGTGAAATCAGGGGCTGAGGGTGGGAAACTCATTTTCAAGGTTCGTTATTCTGAAATTTGTTAACATCTAAGAGACTGTAGACCCAAATTATCAGGAAAGAATGATATCGTAACGATTGATTGAACTTTTCGTCTTGAAATTAAGTTTAATTTGAAGTATTTTGCGGAATAAAGCTGCTGAGATTATGGAAGAAAAAGTGAAAAATTTTCATTTTTTCATATCGAAAAATAACGATTCTTCCTGATTATTACTGAGACATGGGTTTACTTGTTACTGTTGTGAATCAAACTTGTTATGCTATTCTTCAAAAGAGGTGTACTTGAAATCATGTTTACATTGCTTGTAAGAACTAACGGGGAAATTATTAAAACGGTATCAATGAATCTGATTAGCAGAGATAATAATGTCAAATCAGTCAGGCGTAAAATTGAATCTGATGTTACAAATCACATTTACAAAATCTTTAAAACTTTCTATATAATATGTGATAAAGGGTTTGACTTCCACTGGTCTGATATAATTTGTTGGGTATATTTGCGTTTTTACAATTTACAGCTTTTAGGATTAAATGGCTGAAAGAAAAAATACATAGTGACCCACGGAACAGGACAGTTAGTGACTAGTTTTAAATGTCTTCTTCCATAATTTGATATGTTGTTTGATACTAGAGACTAAATACCTTTTTTATATGACAGTTATACTATGGTAAAATTGATTTCACAGTAAAATATATAAGAGTTAAACATTTTCTTAAAGAAATAAACTGCAAAAAGTCTTCAATATCTAATGCAGTATGTGAGAGAAGACATTCCAAACTATTCACCAACTGTCATGTTTCTTGGGACACTCTGTATCTTAATAAATTACAATGCTTGAATCCGGATCCATAGGATCTACAACATTTTGGCTTCCTGGATCCAAGGGGCAAAATATTAACCAAAACTGTAAAAAAAACTTTGCTCACAAAACCTTTATCTGAACTATTGAAAAAAATATAGTTTATCTAAAAATTCCTTAGTTCTGAATTTTTCTTAGTTTTAGCATCAAAATTAGCGAAGAAAATAATTTAAAAATTTCTCTTTTTTGTAAATTAACCAGTAAATCTCAAAGAAATGTTCATGGATTTCCAGGATCGATCTTAATGAAATGGATCCTATCCTATGCACTGATAAATTGTAATGGGTATCATATGATTTATCTTGAAATGCGGAGTTCAGAAACGTCTAATTCACAAGAACTTTTCAGATTTTTTTTTACCTTAAAATTTTTTTTAACATGCGTATTGCTCTTTCTAAAACAGACAGTAAAACTATTTTTTTTTAGTGTAAAAAGAATTTTCAAAACATAACAAATTTCTAACGCGAATCGGGGAACTTAAATTAAGAAGAAATTTTGACTTTAAAAAAATATTTTCAGTATCCGTTTTATCACGAGGCTGGAGATGAAGAGGAGGATGACCTCCCTCGACCTAATCCATATATTATCAGGATATCAGAGGATTTGCTAAACCTCAGGTATATATATCCTCTAATCCATATATTAGAATATCTGATTAACTAAATTACAGAATGTNTAATCCATATGTTAGGATATCAGAAGATCTACTAAACCTCAGGTTAAATTAGAGGCCGATAATGACCTCAACCTATGCTTAAACGACTATATTAAAAGGTTGTTCTAACCTTCTAATTATACAAAAGTATTTTCAAAATATCATTTTATTTATTTCAGGCTTTTCATTATTTCAGGTTATAAAATCTATTAAAGGCTGATAAAATATCTATCCTCTCTCTAGAAAGAATTGTCATTTTGAATGTTACTTTACATGAGAGCATGTAATCTTTATTCATAATAAAAACTTACTCATTTTATTGGGAATATTCAAAATTCAGATGAATTTTTTTTCTATGATAGTTTTATTCTTATCCCATCCCAACGGCCCTCCTCCCCACTCTGGAAAACAATTTTTACCCATGTGAGGTCTGACAAAAGATTTTTTTAATTTTTTTTTTACCCAAACAAACAATCCAAAATGAAAGTCAAAGCAAATGCATATTAATGCTAGTTCTAAATATAGTCATTAAAGGCCCCGCTATGACCCTTGTAAACCATCATTTTACATGGAAATCTGACCAAATCCTAATTTTAAAAGTATTTTTCAAAAAATCCGAATTGGTTAAAAGTATTCTCCATCTGTACACAATTTCACAGAAGGGAATATATTTCTGTTTTACACCATCATCACTCATCAGTCCTTACTTTAGATCGTTTTTAAACAAATACCAACCCAACTCTTTCTCTAGAAGTACATCATTTTTTTCTCAATATATTTCGCCAAAACCTTTTGTCATCATCACGTGTTTGTCCTAAATTATCACAGATACAAGCAAAGAAAAATAAAATATTAGACAATAAATATAAAAACTAGCTGATTTTAAGGGCCGTGGTAAAATTTTTTTTTAAGAAATAAAAAAATAATCTATTTTTTTAGCCTATAACACCCCTCGGTCACCCCTGAATGTCCACAAAATATTCAGTCCAATTAGTTCAACCGTTTGTCCATCTATACGCCACATGTATACGAATGAGTTGTTTACAATAAACATAAAACTTCAGTATTTTAAATTTTCGCGGAATGATGGTTGATCTTTTATTTATTTATTTATTTACAGTTTTGAACTAGTTTAGAAAATATGTTGACTAATGTTAAATGTTTAGGGTTAATGCTGAACCAACAAATATCAAAGATAATTACCTGGTTGGATTCATAATCCCGATCGCTCGATCTCGATATTCACTGTGGGCACTTTTAGTTTGAGAATCTATAAATAACTTTCCATATCTTCCTTCTTGTTATTCCTGAGCTGTGATCAAAGCTCCCTACAACCCCTGATTTTGGTACGATTAGGAAAGGGATACAAAATAAAGATTAAATTAATCTACAGATTAACAACAGATCGTGAGTTCATGAGTTCCTACTCTGACTACACTTGAAGTTCTGTGGATAAAGAAATTTATTTTTTGACATAAACTCAAATTTTCTAGTCTCTGTATCTTTGAACATAATGGTGAAAACCTTTGATAATTCAAAATTAGATTCTTTGATATAACAGAGTTCATAGTTTGAATATTTATATTTTATGGCCTACAACATTTTATTTCAAAGATAGTTATTTTCAGACAGTTGTTACAAGTTTCTAGGTCCCGATCAATCCCCTAATACTTGACTCTAACTCTAATAACAAGTCTTCCCGACTTTATCTCTAGCCAACCCTGGCTCTATACGTCTGTCTTGAACAAAGATTCGTACTATACTAATTTATTGATAAAGGTAAATATAGATTGACCGGACTGGCCGGTCAGGGTCAAATAGAAAAATAGATAATAGATAAGCAAAACATAGATAAGAAAGATAGTAAACTAAACATAATCCCCTGAATTTATTACAGTCCGAATTTAATGAATTTGAGCCGCGGCTCAAATCCGCCAAAAACCAGTTTCAATCGAGCGCCGGCTAAAATCTTGAAACATTTAATACAATTTTATGTAGAACCACCCATATTTGAGCTGCGGCTCAAATTCTTTAAATTCTACCTCAAATAAAAAATTTAACATAATGTAGATTATAAAAGCAAACTTGTCTATCGTGCAATTTTAGAATAGGATCTACAACCTGTGGACCCTTTTTAAAGTCTGAAATCATTAAATGTTTCAAAACGGACCTCAAAACGATCTTCAGCGGGAAAGGGGGAGCTAATGGAATATAGACTGTTGTAGTAAATCTTAAGATCTCCTCTAAAAATGTAGCTGAGTTTCCCTTAATAAGTCTCCACTGCAAGGGTGGGCCATAAGAGAATTTATTACTGTACACAAATTTATTCTGGAAAACATTTTAAACTTGGTTTCGGTGGCTAAAAACTGGTTTAGCGTTCTGCTTTACATTCAATTCAATTAGGCTTATGTCGAAACAATAATTTACAGTTTCGACATAAGAGGGGGGGAGTAGCCCAGGCATATGTATACCAATATAACTCCGACTAAGCTAGGTTTGAAAATTCTCTTATGGCCTTACCTTACCTTGCTCCAATGTAAGTTAAAGGGAGTGTTGAAAATGGAAGACAAAAACAATAAGGCCAGGGGAATAAACATGGGAATCGAGAGACGATTTGAATATCGTCTTTGATTTCCGATAATTGATAATTGAGCTTTCCAAAATGGGGTCTACCCTCTTTTTGTTTTCGATAATTAACGGAGATATTAAACATTTGATCAGTTTTGTTGATTTTTAATATCTGGAATATGGACAAATTTCCTAGTAGCTCCGTCAATTTTAATGGTAACAAAATGGTAGACCACATTTTGGAAATCCCGGCACTAGTAGTTTTTTGATTGTGATACTAATCCCTAATAATCCCGCATGGAACAAAGACATAATAGAAGTCGTCATTTAATTCCCATGTTTATTGGGACACCCTGTAGTTAAATTATATTTTCAAGGCGAGGATGGCCAGTGGAAGACGACAGTTAACATGTTCCATATCGTCTTTGCACTAAAAGCTGTTGCCAACTATTCTATTGTTCAATGCTATCACGAACTAAGGTATAGGGATATAAAGTAAAGATTGAAAATTACTAAATGCTTAAATTAATGAATGAAACCGTTTCGATTCCTCTTACATTTGCACATAAAAGATAGCTTACTTTACAAACATTTTATTTCAATTATAGGGACTGTGATTTATGTGAACGTAATTTCAAGTGACGTTGATAGAGAAATATATTCGATTTACAACGGTACTCTTAAAAGCTTTCTCTGATCAAGTATGAATTACAAATTCATGTTTCTGTTAAAAAGAAATAATTATTTACATTTATGTTTTCTCTGAAAAAGTGACATGCGCATTTATTGCTTTAGAAACAAAGGATAAATTAACACAATTAAACACATAAAAATGACTTTATCTTTCAAGGGTATCTTTGTAAATCAGGGATGCCCCTTTATTAATGAAGGGTCATTTGAAATTACAATGACAGTCTCTTTAAGTAAGGAAGTTATCTATAGTATTATTATTGTTATCTAACGGGATTTAATAACCATCGGCAAAATATAAAATAAATAAAAATTGTTTTTTTTTCTACAACGTTAGGTTCCATTATAGATTTTCTAGACATTTTTGGGAAATAGGAAAAAGTTTAACTATCACATAAGACAGACAAAGTATAAATCTATATATAAACTAGATTGGAAATCCAGCTTTGTCTGGAAACTTAACTTACTTTACAAAACCAACTCAACCTTGTATTTAAAACCAAGCTAAAACATTTCCGTGGTTCTTCCGAGTTCCACAATCAAAATCTAAATCAAATCGGTCATGGGGGTTATGAGTTAAATATAAACAAACAAAAAGTGATTAATACTTTATATACAGGGTGTCCCAAAAAACATGGAAATTCAGTGACGAATTCGATATCGTCTTTGCAATGTATTACCATTGTAATACCTAATTTCAAAAGCCTTATTATGTCAGCAAGATTTTATTTCATGAAAACAGTAAATTGATGTCAAGTTGTGTCTATAATGTCTCTGCAAGATGAACTGTGAAGACGGACAAGTTTACTCTGTTTGTATACTGCAATTTTCTTGTTTTACTAAGTACACCCGTATTCAGTCAAAACATAAACAAACAAAATGTGAACATAGCAGAAGAAACTCTTACAGATTAAAGCTTTCTCAGTAGGTATCACTACACTAAATCAAAGAATTATTTAAAAAGACTATATCGAATTCGTCACTGAATTCCCAAGTTTTTTGGGACATCCTGTATATGTAAAGATATTTTCCAAAGAACCTATAAAACTGCGGAAACCCTCCTCAAATCAATCTTATTTATCTTTTCCATTTTCCATTTTCTATTCCACAGTTTTATGAGTTTCTCTGTGTAAGAAAATTGGATTAATTTTTCTAGTCAACGGCTTGGTTTGACCTTGATGCATGAAGAGTTAAGATCTGGATATCTGAGCTCACAAACTAAATGTTTAATTGCTGCTATGGATGAGGTAGGATCAGTGCTGACTTCTTCATAATCTCTTGTCGGAAGGGGGGGGGNATCACACATCACACATCACACATCACACATCACACATCACACATCACACATCACACATCACACATCACACATCACACATCACACATCACACATCACACATCACACATCACACATCACACATCACACATCACACATCACACATCACACATCACACATCACACATCACACATCACACATCACACATCACACATCACACATCACACATCACACATCACACATCACACATCACACATCACACATCACACATCACACATCACACATCACACATCACACATCACACATCACACATCACACATCACACATCACACATCACACATCACACATCACACATCACACATCACACATCACACATCACACATCACACATCACACATCACACATCACACATCACACATCACACATCACACATCACACATCACACATCACACATCACACATCACACATCACACATCACACATCACACATCACACATCACACATCACACATCACACATCACACATCACACATCACACATCACACATCACACATCACACATCACACATCACACATCACACATCACACATCACACATCACACATCACACATCACACATCACACATCACACATCACACATCACACATCACACATCACACATCACACATCACACATCACACATCACACATCACACATCACACATCACACATCACACATCACACATCACACATCACACATCACACATCACACATCACACATCACACATCACACATCACACGTCACACGTCACACGTCAACACGTCAAACGTCGAGGATGTAGGTCCAGAGATTGGAACTTTTGTCTGGAGTCTCATTAATCTTGAATGCTCGATCTCGATATCCAATCTGGACAACCATGCTTGATCTCTTCATTTTAGTTTTCCCCTACAGGGAATGATCACTACGGGATATCGAAGATAAATCTATTTTAATCTGTATGTCTGTATATATAAGATTAAGATCAATGCTTGATCCCGAGATTTATAAACACAAAAGTTCCGACTACAGGAACCCATTTTAATGAATTTGAGGGTCGCTAAACTGACAAAAGCCATTTAAAAGTTGAATCACCGATTCAAATTCTTTCTGATTCTTTCACACTAAATCGGGGGTTCAAATTTGAACCGCAACTGGAAGTTCAGATTTCATTGAATTTCTGAAATCTTGAGCTGTTGTTGACATCCAGCCCGACAACAATGACTAAAACTTTTTTGATGATAACGTTTTCCCTTGAACAGTTTAGCAGTAGATAGATCCAGTCTAGCCAAGGGAAACAGTTATGAAAGCAAAGAATAACTTCACAAAAATATATTTAGTAATATATAATAATTTTTTTTTGTTAGAAAGATTTTTTTATATTCGACAGTTTTATGTTATTTAATAAACTTTCATTGCCCAATGGCCAATGGATATGGATAAAGCCTGTATTCTAGAAGTAAATATATCTTACAAACATATACTTACAACATACCTTATTTTCTAATTCTTATTCATTTGAACCCTATATATCAAACTATTAATTGATTTCTGTTCGATTAAATGTTTAGAGTTTTTAACACCAAATTGCAAAGTTTTAGTGAATTCAAAATTAGAGTTTGAGACTAATAATCATTTCCTTTCGACCGATATTAAAGGGGCTGTAACCGTAACGGTAACGGTACCCTTGAAATTAAAACTTTAATCTGATTAAAAATGAAGAAAATACCGTCATTTTTCTTACTCAGCAAGTGTTTATTTCTGTGAGTTTCTTCATTACTTGTAATAAACAAGAAACATGCTGAGTCACGTTTGCAGAGAAACTTCATAAGAAAAGAAACAGATTAAATGAACAAAATCTTTTAATTTTAAGTTTAACTATATTGGACAACATTTTTCAGGGTGCCGTTGTAAATCGGGCATTGTCAACTAGGCATGAGAATTTTTTTTTTTATTATTTTTTTTTTAATTTTTTTTATTTTATTTTATTTTATTTTATTTATAAATGTTTCTGAACGAAGGATATTCAAACTATCTACCATCATCTCTGCTCTACTGGCGAGATCAGGAAAATATAAAATGTTTAAAGTTCAAAATGAAGTGATAATCCATAAACTACGGAATTATTGTCGTCTTTGCTTTTTCAGTTTAAAACCACTAATACATCACTGTATATATCCCTGTAAACGTGCTTCTGACTTTTTAAATTCAAGCTAAGAACATTTTCGTGTTCTACAGAGTTCCCTTGTCAAAATATGAGGCAAATCGGTCAAGGGGTTAATGAGTTATGATCGGACTGACACAAACAGACCAAGAGATATTGATATTTTATAAACATATCTCTTGATTGAATTGAATAGCATTTTTACATGTTTTTACTGTTTATATATTATACATATAATTATATACGTATTTCCATTAAAACTTCCAAGTATGTAAAATATTCACTCATGTGTTATTAACAGTTTCTTGAGCATTCTTGATGAACTATATTATCTTCCATTACGTGCATACACAACTTTGCTTTTAACAAACATTATTTCATTATTTGGTGCATTGAAACATTACACTTTCTATGCTAGACGTTTATTTTTCACCAAGAGTTTACAATTGATGCCAGCTTTTAATATTTTTTCCTTTTCCTACAATTTCCATACCAGCTCTCAAACCTATTATTTCAAACACTTTTAGAAAGAACTAATTTGTTGAGCATTGGGAGGACTTGAAATTGGCTAAAATTTGTGGGCAATATACATATCTTTTCTTCAGATCAATTCACTGTCTTTATCAATTGGTGTGGGGGGAGGGTTGCATTGTTAGTGTGCTTCATCTCTCAATTTGATTTGCTTTCTCAGAAGAGTGAATTGTAATTTTTTTTATACTGATGGTTGTTTTAACCTAAATTTTTAAAAATATTTATATTTATTAGAATTTACATAAATAAATGGATCGAATTATCCTTCTGTCTCCCTCACAAACTTTATAAACTAAACTTCCCGAGCAGCTGCGTAGAACCAGAAACCATCTTTCAATGCCTAGAACAGCTCAGGTAAATAATACCCATTTATATATAATATTTATACTTTGCATGTCTGTTTGTTTGTTTCCAATAAACGTCAAAACGGCTGCACCGATCTGGCCCAAATTTATGTGTGGTATGTGTGGTACCCAGGAAAGATTTGTGGATGCTCAAAATTATAAAAATGCTAAAAGATTGAACAACAATTAAAAATTGAAATAAAATATGGGCGCAGCCTAGCCTTGATAAAAAGCTCTAAGCAAATCTGCAAGTTCTAGGGTTGTGATATCAAGTTCAATAATTTTCTGTTTTTGCTCTTCTCTGCAGATTAGTTTAATCTTTATGCGATATCCAGAAAAGTGTCTAAAATTCAACCAATTAGAGTGTCGTTTGCAGAAACTGGTTCATCCAATAAGAATCCGGGAAAGTTTGCACTTAATCAATGAGAGAAGTTGGTCGGAACCCAGCAGGGATTTCCTAAAGAGAGGATTAAGCAGAAAATCAAAAGTGCCCACAACGGATATCGCTATACAAGAGTTTCAGGCTCTGTGGAATGTATAGATAAAATTAGAAAATTCCTTTCCCCCAGGCAAGCTTATAAAACTATGTATTGATCTGGTATCTATCTTTTGCTGCTTTTCCAAAATAGTTTAAGAGAGGTTTAAAAATATTGTGAAACTCTGCATAGTATTCTGAGAAAGCTAATCTTCTCTCAATAGGTTTTCAGATAATATTTATCTTTAAAATTTGAAAAACATTATTTTTAACTAACAGGGAGGGATAGTTGAGCTGAGAAAATACTGCGCTCTTAAACCATTTACTTTAAGAAATATCTGTTCATGGAATCCAGCATTTAGCAATAATTTCGCAATTTTATAATTATTGTATTTATTTTATAATTTTTTTTTAACCGATTCAAGGGAAATTATTATTTGCACCCATCTTTCTGATAATTATCTACTTTTTGTTACTAATCAGTCTGCAAACCTTCTGTATAATCATGTTTATAAATAAATCAGTTGAATACAGACTCTTGTTCAGTAGAGACGGAATCGGTCTGGGTAGACCGATTATTAGAGTTAGAGGCAGTTTAGCCATACAGCAGTCAGGGTTGACTGATAATTAGAGTTAGAGGCAGTTTAGCCATAAAGATTAAGTGAGGAGATACGGGCTAGGTTGTTACACTTCTATACATTTTGATTTTTTTTAAATAACGAGACAAAATTTCTATTTCAACTGGATAATTTCCAACATTTAAAAAATTTGAAAGAATTTGTAAGCATTTTCGTGGGACTGGTTTTATAGTCTTAAAAAGAACATTCTGCCATATTCTTGGATAACTTTATTCTATTTTTTCCAGTATTATAGCATGTAAAAATATATTCTCTAAAAATAGTCCGCAAAATTGAGTTATTATCAATGTTCAACCTTCCAAAAGAATAAATAAGAGAAAGTGAAACTTTGTAATAAAGCACCCTGAACTTTTTTTACAGGGTTTCATGTTAAGAGTAAGTGTAACTCCAAGGAAGAGTTTGCCAAAAAAAATTTTGCAAGCGAATTGTAATTTTGGCGTGCAAATTACAAATATATTAGTCAAATGTAATATATAGATAAAATAGAATATTGTACTCAGTGTACACTGTACACTGTACATGTATACTAGTATATACCCTACCATAACCTGCTGTGTACACTGTACATGTATAGACCCTACCATACCCTGCTGTGTACACTGAACATGTATAGACCCTACCATACCCTGCTGTGAACACTGGACATGTATAGACCCTACCATACCCTGCTGTGTACACTGTACATGTATACGGTATAGACCCTACCATACCCTGCCATGTACACTGAACATGTATTTTGTATAGACCCTACCATATCCTGCTGTGTACACTGTACATGTATACTGTATAGACCCTACCATACCCTGTTGTTCCTGGTGAATGAGAATGAACTCCTGGACAGTTTGTCTACAGACGCCAGCCCTGCCCTCAGGTACCTCAAAATTTGTATACAGTGGTACCCATAAAACTGTGGACGACATCCTAGCAATCTTATGCGCATTTGAAAGCAAATAATGCTACTGTAGTACCTTGAAAATCAATTTATTTAGTGAAATGGGCCTGTTTACACTGTACAGTGTAAACTGCACAATTGCTGTGTTCAGTTCAGGAACTGACATTTTTCCGTATGGGGAGGGGATAGGGGGGTCACACAGAGTAAACATTGCGGGCAAAAGTCATATTACCAGTGCTTAGGATCCTCAAGATTTTGGCTTCCTTCTTGGATCCGGATCCGCAAAAATTTGCGGATCCACGGATCCGGATCCAAGAGGCAAAATATCAACCAAGAACTTTTTACTTTCAAAACCCAAAAATGAACCATTGAAAAAAGAGAAGTTATCAAAATTTCCTTATTTCTGAATGGTTCATCAAGTTTTAGCATAAAAATAAGCGAAAAAAAAATAAGGGAACAAATTTGAAAACTTTGTTTTGTTATAAGAGATGAACTGGATCTGGATCCGGATCCGGATGATGTCTTGTTTAATCTTCAATATTTGGTCATTTTAAAGCACTTAAAATGTAAATTTCAGAAATTCTCTTTGTACGATTGATTGTTACTAATAATTATCATAGTTGTCATTTTTCATCTATTATTAATATTATTATTATTGATTAAAATTTGTTAGGCGTTTGATCCGTCAGTCCTCTCCTATGAAATCTTTTCGTACTTTGTCAATAGATACAGATCTCTCCCTCATGCAGGTTTTTCAGCTCACAGGTAAACAAGAAATATTTGGGTAAATATTGTATAATTTTTATTTTTTAGAAAATCAATTCATTTTTATTTTGAATGATTATTGATCAAAGTTTTTTATATTTATTTATTAATTAATTTATTTATTGAAATTTAATAATGCAATTATTAAGTGATCATTTATGGTCATTATTCAACTAATGTACTGTTGTACTGTAAACCGTAGTTTATCTATTGCACTGTAGGTCACCTGTTGTACTGGGGTAAGGCTACAGTGATCTACCCTATCTGTGAGAGTAATATTTATGTACTCTCCAGTACTTTACCAATACCAGTTCCCAAACTTCTTCAGATTAAGTAAGTACAAACAATACTTTTTTATTTTTGTGCATTTCTTGGAATAAATATTAAAAAATTGTAAATTTATGTAAATGTTTTTTTATTTGTTGATAAAATAAGATTCCAGTTTCCAAATAATTCTATAGGGTGGGGGGGGGGGGGCTTCTTTTTTGTTTTATAATTGATTTATTCTTAGAGATTACTCTTGGAGGGATTACTTTTAAACTGTTAAAGGAACAGTCTTTGTAATTTCATATGACTCTTTATGTGAAGAGGGGCGCATGCCCAATAACAACTGTGCACCTCTAAAACCTTTAACTGAAGAATAATTTGTAAGATATTGCAGGTTTTGTGCTTGAAAATTATTTAAATTGGCGATTTTATTTATGTTTTTGTAGCAACTATAAACTCAGTTTAATAGAGAGTTTAAAACATGGATATCTAATTCATTCTGAATTATATAAAGTTACAAATAAATTTTAGTACAATAGGTGGCAAAGTAGAATTAATTTGTACACTTTCCGTACAACTGTATTCTTACGTCACAAGTGTCAACTTAGTTTTTGTTTCCGACAAAATTATTAATAATAGTGATAATATTAGAAAAAAAGTGCTTATCTTACAGAAAAATAAGTGCAATTTCATGTGTTCTTTATTTTCTGTTTTTTACACTTTTTTATTTAATCTTGGAAAACATGTCAACTAATGTGAGAAAATTTCGTTTTTCTTGTTATATTTGACACTTGTGACGTCGTGTATAATTAATCCATTTCTCTGTTGCTACCAATTGTACTTGATAATCTATTTTCAAAGTTATATGGGTACCATAGCGAGTGCCACACTAAAAATGGAGGGTCACTTGAACTTACATCTTCAGCCTCTTTAAATAGGTTCAACCAAATTTGTTTCAGGTTTTTTGAGAAGTTTGGTGAAGAGTCTCTGATGGAACGCCTGTCATCCTTCTCGTTGCCCTGTAGACTGCAGGCAAGTTGTTAGTTCCAAAAATGTCTGTCAAGTGTCGCTAGTGGTCTATATTAATAATTATTCTTTAGGTCCCTCCTCCCATGTCTCTGCATCAAAACAAGATTACAGAAACTATTGTCTGGTTACTCAAACATGGACTCATTGTACAGCTCCATACCTACGTTACTTTAGGTAGTGTGTCCCAAGAAACATGAAGTAATGACTTTTAAATCTTCTTGGATCCATTCTGCTTTTATTTGTAGATCATACTACCAATACCAATAGATCTCTTATCGCGGGATTTTAAAAATGCGGTCTGCCTGTTGTTTGCCTTCAAAAATCTAGAATATTTCCCTCATTTTAAAGCTATAACGACGGTAGACTAAAGGGTTGCCCACATAGAATGAGACTAAATACAACCTAAAACTCATTATGGCTTTTATAAGGTTAAACTGAGTAATCTACCGAAATAAGACTCTTGTTATGGCCTTTTTAATGATTGGGCAAAGAAATAAACAAGTTTACACTTACAGGGAATCATTTATCATAATTCTGTACAGCCGTCTCTGAAGTCTAATTCTTTGTGGACGACCCTGTGCATTATCAAACGCGTTTTTGATAGTATACGGGTAATTTCAATGTCGTCACTTAATTCCCATGTTTTCTGGGTCACATCCAGAACTTGCAAGAATGTTAAAATTTAAAGGGATTAAATAGAGTTATAGAATTAGCCATAATTTTCTAAATCTTAATCAATATGGATTCCTTCCGATGTTTTTCTTATAAGCATTTGATAAACCAAGTTTCCTTGCAATTATCCTGGCTTCTGAGTATTCATAAAACTCGATAAAGAAACATCGATTGAATCTAAATTAGTGCCAATCTTACATTTTATTGAAGTTTCATCCTACGTCACATACAGTGAATCCCAGATATATGAATACATAGCAAGAGTTTTTTATAATGTCGTATTACATATTGAAGATTAAATGCCGCGGAAAAATGAGTTTAATATTAATATATCAATTGCATTCATATTTCAGGGCTATTAATTTACCTTGAATTAAAAATAAAAAGAAGTTTCTTTAGAATTATCAAAAAACTTAAAACGGTCTATGTATGCATATATCTGGGATTCACTGTAATAAATTTCGTCACCAATTCCTTTATTTATCTAGTTTTTTATGTTAACTTGTAACATTTCATATTTCATATGTTTATTTTACCACAAAGTATTAAATATTACAAGTGAGCAATCATAATTTACTATGCAGTTTGAACCCGCCTACCCAGGGTAGGTTATTTTAAGGGGTTGGCCCTAAGTTAGTGAGCGCTAATGAAATAGTTAAATACGCACATCAAATTCACATATGTTTTGGGATAAGTAAGGAGTTGATTGAAGGGTAGGATTGTCAGATAATCTGTGGCAGGGTGGGATCAGAGGCATTAACAAAAAGATAAATTAAATACAGGGTGTTGAAATAATGAAGATATATTTACATTGTACTTTAATTTTTCTAACTTTTTTCTGTTTATGTCAGCTCTGACTCCAGATATGGCCTGGAACTTTAGGCAGGGTTTCAAACACAGTTGTTATGCATTTTTTTTATATTTGAGTAGCTTGTCCGATTGACATGTTTTTCCCAGTGATAATTTAGAAAACAAAAAACAGATTAATGCAGCAGAAACAAATAAGTAATTGAACAGAATCAAGAGGTTCTAGAATAGAAAAATGACGATATCTTTCACATTATTGGTCAGACAAGATGTTAAAGGTATTGTTATGAATCAGACAAGGTGTAAAAGGTATTGTTATGAATCAGACAAGGTGTAAAAGGTATTGTTATGAATCAGACAAGGTGTAAAAGGTATTGTTATGAATCGGGCAACTCTTAATTCTAGGTTTATGCCAAGTTACATTCACAGTCTTCAGGAGTCTGAAATTTATATTTTTTACAAACCAGTGCTCAGGATCCGGATCCGTTGGATCCAAAGATTTTGACTTCCTGGATCCGGATCCAAGGGGCAAAATATCAACCAAAAACTTTTTAAAAAAACTTTTTTACTCAGCGAAAAAAAATAGGAAAAATAAGAAAAACAATTTGACAATGCTGCTTTGTTAAAAAATCAGAAAATCTTAAAGATATGTTCATGACCTAAATCCGGTACCAATTTTTTACCAGTGCGGATCCAGATTCACATCAAAATTAAATGGATCCTAAGCACTGTATAGAAGCTTTGATTTAAAAATGTTTAAAAATAATATCTCTGAAACCCTTGAATCTGGATAGGGAGGAACGAGAGGAAACTAGGGTTGATATATTTCCTGATCCCAGTTTAGATTTATTTAAAAACCAGGTAAAATTCTACTCTTATCTTTATTGTTTATACACAATATTTTAAAAGGATTTTCTGGTTTACTAAGACAAATGTTGGCAAAAGTCAAGGATATATGAGGGTTAAAAGATGAATTGTTATCACTGGTCGTTACACAGAAGTTAATACTCACAACTTTAAGCTTGAGACTCCGGTACAATCCATAGTCATTGATCCAATATATGCCAGGTAATTATTTAAGAAAAGAGAATTTCATAAATTCACCAAATGCACAAACTTTATTTTTCGGTGGACCATCTGGTGTATCATTATCTCAGGAAACTCTAGCAAGAGCTAAGACAGTGTTGGCAAGCGCAACCTTTAGCTGGGGAAACTCCTCTGGGAGATGAGTATAATGAGCTTGGAGCCGGACAAGTAAGAGCTGACCAAACCCATAATTGTCAAAGACCTTCTGGAAATGAAGAACCTAGAAGCATATTCTCCATTATGTTTGTTTGTTTTGTTGTCCTTTTTTATGTGTGGTGTGGTGCTTAGCCACTTTCAGAACAAAATGGCCTCTGGAGTTATTAATATTTCAGTTTTTGTGAGAATAGAGTGTGGTGCTTGGCCACTTCAGATCAGATCAAAATGGCTTCTGGAGTTATTAATATTTCAGTTTTTGGCTGAGTAAAGGGTGGTACTTGGGCACTTTCAGATCAAAATGGCTCCTGGAGTTCTCAACCTGGAGTAAATATGAATTCTGGAGTAAATATGAATAATGGAGTAAGGAGTAATCTTGGACTAAAGATTCAAATTGGAGGAAGCATGAATCCTGGAGTAAGCATGAATTCTGGAGTGAGCATGAATCCTGGAGTAAGGATGAATCCTGGAGTAAGGATGAATCCTGGAGTACAGATCAATCCTGGAGTAAGGATAAATCCTGGAGTAAGGATGAATCCTGAAGTAAGGATGAATCCTGAAGTAGGGATGAATCCTGGAGTAAGTATGAATCCTGGAGTAAGGATGAATCCTGGAGGAAGAATGAATCCTGGAGGAAGGATGAATCCTGGAATAAGGATGAATCCTGGAATAAGGATGAATCTCAGAGTAAGGTGTTCTCAACCTGGAGTTAATATGAATTCCGGAGTAAGCATGAATCATGGAGTAAGGATTAATTTTGGAGTAAGGATTAATCTTGGAGTAAGGATTAATCTTGGAGTAAGGATTAATCTTAGAGTAAGGATTTATCTTGGAGTAAGGATGAATCCTGGAGCAAACATGAATCCTGGAGTAAGCATAAATCCTGAAGTAAGGATGAATTCTGGTGTAAGCATGAAACCTAGGAGTAAGCATGAAACCTGGAGTAAAGATGAATCCGGGAGTAGAGATGAATACAGGAGTAAAGATGAATCCTGGAGTAAGCATGAAACCTAGGAGTAAGCATGAAACCTGGAGTAAAGATGAATCCGGGAGTAGAGATGAATCCAGGAGTAAAGATGAATCCTGGAGTAAGGATGAATCCTGGAGTAAGGATGAATCCTGGAGTAAGAATAAATCCTGGAGTAATGTCTGGACTTGGAGAAAAGTTACATGCCATGAAGGAAGAGATAAACATCAGACAAGTAATATCTGCCTGTTCTTTGTGGACAATCTAGTCCTTATCTCACAAACAAAGGTGAGAGGAATGGAAAGAATGTTAAAGGAGGTATCAAGGTTCTGTAACCATATGCATATGAAGCTGTTGATTGAGAAGACAATAATACTATCCAATAATACTATACTTGACCTAAAGAGCAGGTTTGGAAAGTAGAACAGGGAACACCAGACCTCGAAGCAACCTTGGTTAGTAAGTACCTGGGAATAGATATACAGGTTAAAGGCAGGAACCTAATCAAGGCTAGAGAAGAGCATAAGATAGGCATTGCTAAGATATTAGCCGGATTAGACAGAGCACTAGTATGCTGTGAGATCCATGGTTTTATCAATTAGCGTAATTACAAGGCTAGACACTAGACAGCATCCAACACCAAGTAGCGCATTTTATACTCCAATTACCAAGCTCAGCAGCCAAAGTAGCAGGATACATGGAAGCAGGGTTCTAAACAATAAAAGACAAAATAAAGGAATGAATAGCATTGTATGTGTAGGAGATCATGCATAAAAAAACACATTCAGATCCTTACCAGTGTTTTCGACGTGGTTATCAGAGCACATGACGACCCATGGGCAAGAATGGTTGGGGACCTGGTAGCTGAATTGGGAGTTGATCTGTTTTATGGTCCCAAGTTAAGGTTGAAGAAGAGGCTTACCAAAGTGGCGGTGGCCGGGGTTCCAGAACAAAAACATCAGTTCGTGTCTCTTAACTGCATGCCCACCCCAAAAATCTGGTTTTTAACTTGAGCCGCATGTATGCAACAGCAAGGCAGGAGGACTTTTAACTGAATAAGAGAAGGAGATACAGAGCTTGGTAACCTTTGCCCAAACAACCATGGCTCTACTACAAAGTGGTGTCCACTCTGTCTTCTTTGTCTTGACAAAAGGTTAGTTAACCACCTTCACCTTTCTGAACACCATGTTGTCATATCTTGTCAGGCAGTGGCCTATAAGAGGTCAACAACAGGAATACAAGGACTGTAGTAGCACCGAAACCCTCACAGGAGTCTTAGTGGGAGACGATGCGTTTAAAGAAGTGCTGCTGAAACAAGCTGACAAACTAAACTTGATCCTGGATGACAGGATGGACCTAGTAGGATCACTATAAATTCCGTTAAACCTATAGGCTTTACCTGAACGGTTGTCAGATACCAACCAACCAATGGCATTAATTGGTTTTTGCCAACTTTCCAGAAGTATCTCCTTGATTCCACCAGCAGGGGAATACCTAAACGGGTGTGGGATGATGCTTCCCTCACCTGGCAGCGGTCTGGGGGTCCACATTGGGATCTCTTACAGATTCCATTTCCTTAAGTTCCCTCCTTAAAAAATGTTAGATGGAAAAAGTCGAGTATATACGTAGGCCAATAGACGTTAGATGACCAAAGTCAAGGATATATATATGAGGGCTAAAAGACAATAGATAGCATAAGTCAAGGTTATATAAGGGCTAAAAGACCTTAGATGGCAAAAGTCAAGGTTATATGAGGGCTAACAGATACTAGATGGCAAAAGTCAAGGTTATTATGAGGGCTAAAAGAGGTTAGATTGCAAAAGTTTAGGATATATGAGGGCTGAACGACTTCTCAAGAAAGTTCTGAGTGAGTACATTTTTTGAAATGTTCAACAAAATAGATAGCCAATCTTTGTAACTATGATAATCTTTGTTCTTAAGAAAGTATTTTTTACATAAATATGATTAATGAAATTAAATGGTTAAGGTGAAAAACGTCGTCCTTTCAAATAATTGCATAAGACAAGGTAAATAAACTATGTGGGACTTCGGTCAATAAATAGAAATATTCCTTTAAATATTTTTTTTCCTATTTTAAATATGTACAAGAAAATTTTAACGCTATACTTGTTACTTTAACAACAATATTTACATTAAATAAGTCTTTTTCAAGATAAAGTTTTGACGATGTTTTTTTATAAAGCAGTTAAAGCACATATTTTATTTTTATCATTATTTAGGGAAATTCATCTTCAGGATCCTTTATTGATCCCAGTCAAACCGGTTCCGATGCAGGTAAACAACAATAATTACAAATATTTTTTAAATGTTTGTTAGGCAATTCTTCAGTTGAATGCTGAAAAATTTACTAAATAATGAGATATTATTTCAGTTAAGATAAAGTTCTAAATGGTATGATTATTATTGTTGAAAATGCAGAAGATATATTATATTTTTGATTATGGATCTGAAACGAAGATTTATGAAAGCTGGGCAGTATTGTGAGAAGAGAGAATTCTAAGGGACTGTTGGCTTAATTTTAAGTGACACTCCATTTATAGAGTGCGGGACCTTTTACACCTCTGTCTGATCATGGATCATTGATATATCCTAGTTTTTTTAGTTTAACATTTATCATTTTCTCTTGGGGATTCTATTGTGACTCGAGGATTTATGCTGCAAAGACAATGAAGAAAACTATCAGAATTCACAACGTTTTAAGAAAGGAAAACGACGATATCTTCCTCGTTGTTACTCAGATAAAAGTTTAAAAGGTGCCGCTGTGAATCAGACCTGTTACAGTCGCCAGCATTGTTTTCTCCAGTGCTTTTAAATTGTAAAATTTAATTGACTTCTTTTTATTTAATTTAGGAAGTTACTCTAGTGAGAGAATGGTTGGAAGTATAGGAGAGAACAGGTTAAATTTTTAATATCCATTATATGCGTTTTTGTATATCTAAAGTAACAATTTTGCTCCAAAAGTTCTGTATTTGATAAGGTATGCTCTTATCATATTTAAAATGTTATTGTTTATGAATGTTTACATGAAATTTAAGTAAAAAGATTTTTTTATTTGACGAAATAATATTGGCTTTGCATTTAAAGAAAGTTTTCGTGAAAAATGGAAGGGGGGTTAGGCTGAATCGTTATCTAATTTGGATTCGATTGCTGCTAAATTTACTTCTATCTGTTGAAAACGGTTGAAAAACGCTTGATACCCAAAAGCGTTGAGTCCATGTAAATAATAATGTTGCGTTATTCCACTCAACCCGTTAATAATTCAATTCTATTTGAAACTGATATATCATAAATAAATTTAGGATTTGATTCGGGTCATTGATATTTCATACAAAAATTATTTATTTAGCCGAGTTTAATTTTGAAGAATATTAATTTCCTCAATTTAAAGGTTTCTAAATTATATTTTGAAGACGACATTTTCATATTTCCCAAAAGCGTTCGAAAATCCAGCTTCAAAAAGTCCAAATTCTCAACAACGACAAAAAACCTAACAAAATGTGTGTAAATTTTCTTTGGACTCCGGTATTTTCTGGCGGACTGGTTTTGTTTATGTTGGGTCTTTATTAACATCTAAGGAAATTTATAGGTTTGCCCTCGGTTGTGTTTACTCAAAATATTATAAGTAGTAGAGGGAGAGAAAAATCACACTCCTCTACCGCTTTATTAATTGTAAATTGGCGGTACAGTCCAAAGTAGTACAGAAAAGGTTGGCCCAGCTCGGATATTCAAATGTACACCAGTGGTCCGTGAAGTGCAGGAATGAAAGATGAACAAGAAGAAAGAGAAGAAGAAATATAGAAATATCAAAATATTTTCATCTGATATCATATAAATATTCAAAACTATTGTAAAATTTAATTAAAAATAAATTAAGTTAAAAGAAATGAATACAGACCTTTATCTGATAATATGCTAAGCTGTCCATCTATATATATATTTATATTTAGCAGTCTAACTTTATATCTACCTTTTTGGCTTTCTGTCTGTCTTTCTATCAATTTAACTATCTATTTATCTATAAATCGATCCATCTATCTATATGTCTAAACTCTAGAAATGTCTAGATAGATTTAAATAGACCAAGGAAAGGATGTTTATATATCTATATCTATCCATCTATATCTATATATCTAAATCTATATGTCTAGATCTAGTGAAGAACTAAAGGATGTAGGTCTAGAACTACGAATAGACCAAGGAAAGGATGTTTATATATCTATATCTATCTATCTATATATATCTATATCTATCCGTCTAGATCTAGTGATGAACTAAAGGATGTAGGTCTAGAACTACGAATAGATCAAGGAAAGGATGTTTATATATCTATATCTATCCATCTATATCTATATATCTATATCTATATGTCCAGATCCAGTGAAGAACTAAAGGATGTAGGTCTAGAACTACGAATAGACCAAGGAAAGGATGTTTATATATCTATATCTATCCATCTATATCTATATATCTATATCTATATGTCTAGATCCAGTGAAGAACTAAAGGATGTAGGTTTAGAACTACGAATAGATCAAGGAAAGGATGTTTATATATCTATATCTGTCTATCTATATCTATATCTATATGTCTAGATCCAGTGAAGAACTAAAGGATGTAGGTCTAGAACTACGAATAGACCAAGGAAAGGATGTTTATATATCTATATCTATCTATATCTATCTAAATCTATATCTATATGTCTAGATCCAGTGAAGAACTAAAGGATGTAGGTCTAAAACTACGAATAGACCAAGGACAGGATGTTTATATATCTATATCTATCTATATCTATATGTCTAGATCCAGTGAAGAACTAAAGGATGTAGGTCTAGAACTCCGAATAGACCAAGGAAATGAGAGGGAGAAGAAGAAGGAAGAAGCTCTAAGGAAACCATTCATAAAATCATTTTCTTTTTTGATTTGATTTGATTTGATTTGATTTGATTTGATTTGGACCTGGTTTGGTTTGGTTTGGTTTGATTTGATTTGATTTGATTTGATTTGATTTGATTTGATTTGATTTGGACCTGGTTTGGTTTGGTTTGGTTTGATTTGATTTGATTTGATTTAATTTGATTTGATTCTATTTGATTCGATTCCATTCCATTTGATTCGATTTGATTCGATTTGATTTGATTCGATTCGATTCAATACGTACGTCCATTATTCATCAACTCTTATATATATTAGGCCAATTTGAAGTGTTATCTGTACTTCGATTGGTCGAACTGAACCCAATAGGGTCCACCTATACTTATGATGCTCTGGACACAATTTCTGGTTATATTGAAGGTACTTCAAGTGCTTGTTATATTGAAGGTACTTCAAGTGCTTGTTATATTAAAGGTACTTCAAGTGCTTGTTATATTAAAGGTACTTCAAGTGCTTGTTATATTGAAGGTACTTCAAGTGCTTGTTATATTAAAGGTACTTCAAGTGCTTGTTATATTACAGGTACTTCAAGTGCTTGTTATATTAAAGGTACTTCAAGTGCTTGTTATATTAAAGGTACTTCAAGTGCTTGTTATATCAAAGGTACTTCAAGTGCTTGTTATATTAAAGGTACTTCAAGTGCTTGTTATATTAAAGGTACTTCAAGTGCTTGTTATATTAAAGGTACTTCAAGTGCTGGTTATATTAAAGGTACTTCAAGTGCTTGTTATATTAAAGGTACTTCAAGTGCTTGTTATATTAAAGGTACTCTAAGTGCTTGTTATATTAAAGGTATTCTAAGTGCTTGTTATATTAAAGGTACTTCAAGTGTTGGTTATATTAAAGGTACTTCAAGTGCTTGTTATATTTAAGGTACTTCAAGTGCTTGTTATATTAAAGGTACTCTAAATGCTTGTTATATTAAAGGTATTCTAAGTGCTTGTTATATTAAAAGTAGTTCAAGTGCTGGTTTCCAGTTTTTAAGTAATATTTACCAACACGTTTTCGCGCAATTCATGTTGGGAAATTAGCGAACAAAACTTAAAAAGAACAAATGATTAATGATTCAATTTAAATATTTTCCAAGGGAATATAATTAGAATTAAAATAAACAAACTAACGAAATAAGGACAAACAAATGACGAAACGTGATGAAACGTGCAAACTAAAAAATGATAAATGAATGGATGGTAAAACTATAAAATGATGATGATAAAACTATATAATGATGAATGAAAGGATGATAAAACTTTAAAATAATGAATAAATGGATGATAAAACTATAAAATAATGAATAAATGGATGATAAAACTTTAAAATGATGAATGAATGGATGATAAAACTATAAAATGATGAATGAATGGTTGATAAAACTATAAAATAATGAATAAATGGATGATGAAACTTTAAAATGATGAATGAATGGATGATAAAACTATAAAATGATGAATGAAGGGATGATAAAACTATAAAATGATCAATGAATGGATGATAAAAAATATAAATGATGAATGAATGGATGATAAAACTTTGAAATGATGAATGAATGGATGATAAATCTATAAAATGATGAATGAATGGATGATAAAAGAGAGTTTACAGCGGATGAACGTGAATCTTTGTGCTCTATTCCCGCAGCACAAAATATAGAAGATCTAGTAAGGTAAATATTTTTATTATTAGTTAAAAGGACTGTAAACGTAATTTCAAGTCATTCAATAGTTCAAGATTCCCACCTGAGAAACAATGACGAAGATATCGTCGTTGTTGAAAAGAATGAGATCCGGATCCTAAGCACTGTTTATAAGGATACCATTGTAAAAAAGTCATTGTCATCTTTGCATTGATGATCACTTGAAATTAAGCTTACAGAACATTTAAGGGAATTAATGTTGATTATGATGATTGATGATAGTAATTACGTTGATTGAATGAATATTATCTAACTATGAACTTTTATATTTTTATGATAAGTATGCGTATTCCATTTAACTGTACACACATAACATTTGATTTTTACCTCAATTAAGCTCAAAAAATAATTGTAATCCAACTAATCTTAATTAAATGAAGTGAACAAGAAAAAACATTTTTATTTTTAGATTTGTTCATTTGTGTAAATACTTCCGTGGAACTCATCACTTAGAGGAAATAATGTATCTCGAGAATATGAGAAGGTTAAATTCATTTTCTTACAAGGGGGGGAGGGGGGGTCCAGAGGGAGAGAGTTAAGGGGGGGCCAAGGGAGAGAGAAGGGGGATCCCGTGAGAGATAGAGCAGGGAGGGGTCGAAACTTTACATTGCGTTAATATTGTTTAATGATGAAAAGTTAGTGTCTTAAAGCTTTCGAACAACAAGCTTATCCTAAATTGTTTAAAGGAAGTGTCGTTTTTACCAATATGGTTAACTTCTTTAAAAAAAAAAGTTCTGAATAACTCCTCGGATTGGTATATGTCTCTTTCCCTCCGATTTTTAAATGTTTTATTACAGTAGTGAGAAAGATATATAATCTAATGTTCGCTTTAAGGTTTTAAACATTATTAAATTTTTACCTTTACCATTTTTTCTAGATCTCGTTATTTGAAGTTTTAAATTTACGAACAAAATATGGCTTTCTTTGTTCAAATTTTCAATGTGCTTTTTAAATTTTCTTTTAAATTGTATACTCATCTTTGAACTAAGGTTTCAATTTAATATTTTTAACAGGATTTCACTTCTCACAATTATAATTTATGAAACTTTAACAGATCAAATTGAGCTGATATAAAAGTGAAACACCAAAAATGTTTCGTGGATTATTTGTCCATTAAAAAGATCTTTTTTAAAAAATTAGATATTTTTGTTGGTTCTGAATAAATGTTAATTTTAGAGTTTACAAAATAATTGGTTATAAATGAACTTCTGGTGACTGACATTCTAGTAACGGAATTTTTTGTTTTCTTTTATTTAATTCTCTCCCCTCCAGACACCCCACCCCCCAAGACCGCACAGACATGTCTCTGTCCTTGAAATGTCCGATTTCAGTCGGAATAAATCTTCGAGTGACCAACATCAATCTTATTTATGGTTTTTCTTCTTTATAATATTTGACGACAGTGAGGCCAATACAACTGTGGAATAGAAAGACGACTGTTGACTCAATTTATGCTTTTGAATGGTTAAATAAACATGAAGCGCATAGCTTGTGTATGAGATTGTATTTACTATATTTACTCAAATTTTGTCAAAACGTTCCAACATATCAATGCCATGAATAATTAATATGCAAGCTGCCATATTAGTTTTCATCATTAAAAACAACATTTTAAGTTTCAACATTATTAATGAAATATCAGCCAAAAGCTATATACTCGGAAACCGTACAAGCATTTTAGGTAATTTCCCAGAGAACGATTTTTGGACCCCCNATAATTGACCATGTGGCCGCAGCGCCCGGCCCCCTAGCCTGTCAGCCGCGGCGCTCGGCCCCCTAGCCTGTCCTAGCCGCAGCACTCTGCCCCCTAGCCTGTCCTAGCCGCATTTTAGACATTTACAATCCTTTTGATTAGAAATCTGTTATTCCCTAAACATTTTAAAATTATGCATTTGACGTAAAATTTATATTTTAATTATGTAGATCCTCCCTACTCCATCTAGTGGATAAATTTAGAGATCTTCTCATTAAAACTGAACACGAGGATCCGGTTGTGTCTACATTCTGCAACGGAACCGGATGCTGAAACCGGATGTAAAACGGGGGTCTACATGATGTTATAGTAAAATATAGAAAGTTTCAAAAAACATGAAAGTTGGTTAATCTTTTTCATGAATTTTCGAAGTGACTAGAAATAATATGAATTTAAGATTCAAGCAAAAATCTTGAGATACAAAATTGAAATTTGAAAATTTGTACGGTGGTAGGCGATTATATCGATATAATGAAGACTACTTTTGATTTCAATTTTGATTTATATCAAGCTTATAATCAGCATGAATCCACAAAAACCTGAAAACAAAGAGAGGTTGTTAATTAAACAAGCATTTCTTCAATTACTTGTAAACTTGTAAGTCGAATAAACCTGGTTAACAATTAAAACGTAAATAAAAAAGTCGTCTTCATTATATTGATATTATCGCCTATCACCGAATCTCTTTCGGATAATGGATGAATAAAGGATAAATTCTATTTCCGTTTTATAATTTACGAATATTGATTTGTAACATTTGGAAAGTTTATTTTACTTTTTAAGTGTGATGTACTATATTTATAAATATTTTTAGATTTATGTTCTATATTTTCAGATTTCGGGAGGATCGGTCTGAGGGGGATATAAAATGGACTTTTCAGATATTATCACGGGGTTTACAGATTCTAAGAAAATAGAACAAAAGTTTGAAAATGACAAATTCAAGATTGTTCTTAAATCAGGGATTAAACTTATTCGCATACTTATTTTATTTCTAAAAAAAAAATATTTTAAATTAACGACAGGTAAATGTTCACTATCGTCAGAAAATTATTTTATTAATGAACTTTATTTAAACCAAGTTCTTTTGATTCCTACGAAATGATGGATGATTGGTTACTGTCATTATTATTATTATTAGCATTTTTAGTTTATTTAATATTATTATTAATTGCATTGTTATTATAAGCATTATTATAAGTTTGATGAATTCTAGTAAGTGGAACTGGGGCAGAAAGTTTTGGGGATCTTTTTGAAACTCTTAGAAGACCAGGGGATGGGGTGGACACGGGAAGCCTTGCCTCCGGAGGACACGGGGTCTATGGCCTCCGATATTATAATTGGAGGTCGTTAATGCAAGTGTTGGTGGAAAGTTTTGAGGAGGCATTCTGGGATCCAACATTGTTCAGTGACGAGATGTGCTCGGAGCTGATTAGTTCTGCTTGTTCGGAGGTTCATTTGGAGGATTTAAACGACAGCTGTTGGAGGAATATATTTACCTGGTTTCTCAATCTGGAGGGATTCGGACTATTGGCCTGTACACTCTCAAGGTTAGGTTAGCACCAGATTCGGACTATTGGCCTGTACACTCTCAAGGTTAGGTTAGCACCAGATTCGGACTATTGGCCTGTACACTCTCAAGGTTAGGTTAGCCACAGATTCGGACTATTGGCCTGTACACTCTCAAGGTTAGGATAGCACCAGATTCGGACTATTGGCCTGTACACTCTCAAGGTTAGGATAGCACCAGATTCGGACTATTGGCCTGTACACTCTCAAGGTTAGGATAGCACCAGATTCGGACTATTGGCCTGTACACTCTCAAGGTTAGGTTAGCACCAGATTCGGACTATTGGCCTGTACACTCTCAAGGTTAGGATAGCACCAGATTCGGACTATTGGCCTGTACACTCTCAAGGTTAGGTTAGCACCAGATTCGGACTATTGGCCTGTACACTCTCAAGGTTAGGATAGCACCAGATTCGGACTATTGGCCTGTACACTCTCAAGGTTAGGTTAGCACCAGATTAAATGAGAAAATGACATCTTCTGATAAATAAATAAATTTCTCTAAAATGTGTCTTGATAAGATCAAATGCATGAAATAAATCTAAGTTTAATATTTATCTTATTATTTTAATAAAAATATTTTCTCTGTAACTCGAAGGTTTTCATTAAAAAAAATTCTGTCCAAAACCTTAACAGCACTACTAAGATTAATAATAGTGTAAAAAGCACTACTAAGATTAATAATAGTGTAAAAAAATAGGTGGTTTAATATTTCTAACTAAGTTATTAAATCACGTTTATTAGAAATAAAATATTTAAAATTTATCGAAAATAAGATTTTGATAAAATAATTGTTTAGAAGAAAACAGCAGCAGTTTGGGGGATGGATTCAAAAATATAAAGAAATATGGCAAAGTGCATTTAGGTAAAAATATTTTATTTTTATTATTATTATTATTATTATTATTATTTTAACTGTTATTGTTATCGTCATTGTTAATGTCATTGTTATTGTTATCATTATTATTATTATTATTATCATTGTCATTATTCTTTCTTTTTAATGTTATTGTCATTGTTATTATTAATGTTCTTTTTCTTGTTATTGTCAATGTCAAATGTCAAATGTCAATATCAATGTTGTAATTAAAATAACAATCCTAGAGAAGAATACAGTCCTGGGGCATTATTCCAACGGTTGCATTTTCATTATATCCACGCCAACAGGGAGAAGTTCTTCAATATATTCCCTAAAGTAGAACTGTGTCTCCGACCAACTCTAGAACAAGATGTAAAACTGTTCACCCTCTACCTCAACTCCGAGCGGAGTATTAAGGTTTGTAATTTAATATTTTTCTTTATCAAAATTAATTTAGTTTCCAAGAACGCTTAAGCTAAGTATTTATATTTTTAATTTAATTAATGGTTCAGTGAGATCCGTAAAACTATAGAATATGAAGACGACGCTACTGTTAGACTCAAGTAATTTTTCAGTTAGTGCAATGAACACTGAACAGGCAACACTGCGATTGTGCAGTTTACACGACTCTTTCTAGTCTATCAGTTAATTTTCAAGCTACTTGATATGCTTTCTGCTAAATATACTCGTCTTTCTAATCCATCCTTTTTTGGGTCTCACTGTACGTTGTTAAAGTATCTTATCGTCTGAGGTTAACTAAGATAATCAGTTTTACTGCAAATGTTTTATAGCAAGATACATAGGGGGAGAGGGGAGGGTAATTTTAGTTTACCCGAGAAGTTTTAATGTACTCTGATATGGCAGACATTGTACAAAGCACAGTATATTCATGCCACTTTTTAATAAACTATTGAATAGTCCGATTTTTAATCTAAGTTAGATGGAGTGTTTGGACCTGAACCCATCCCCCCCCCCCACCCATCTTTCTCCTATGAATAGCCCTATTAATGAGAGAATAGTTATGCCATAATAATTTTTTTTATTTAAGTTGGCACCTGTAGAAATAATTTAATCTTTTAGATTGAGTTTGAAGTTAAAAAGAAGGTGCCGTGCGCAACATTACAAGACATTGCCGCGTTGGTTGTTTTAAAGAATATTCGCTCACGCGGCGATGAAGACGATCTTGTTATTCCAGCGTGTTTTACTCCGCTTCTCCGGACAATGCGAATGCACAGAGACTGGACTGAAGTAGGACTGATGTAAAGATATCTACGGTAGAGTTGTTGACACAAATAAAAGAACAAAAGGGATATTCCTTAACTTTATTGAATAATAGCATGAAATGAGAAATAAAATCAAATTTGTTTTAAAATATTGACCTTTAAATGGGAGTATCTAAACGGTTGGAAAAGAAATAACATTGATTATTGGTAATGAAAGGAATGGAACAGTTGGAGCTTCATGATGGTCAGCTCGCAGGTGTCAGCATCTTGGCAGCAAAGGGTTCACATCTAGGCGACGGTCCTGGAGGGAGGGAGGATATAGTTTAATGTATTGTAAATCTTGCGCGGTCAACTGTGCTACACATCGGTAATCGTCTTCGTATTTTCTTGAATTCGTTACAAGAGTGTATACGTATAAATATGTAGGCCTTCTGTTTATTAAATGGCAGGTCCGGCTCACAACAAAACCTTTAAATTCTTAACAGCTTTGTTAAATCAAGAAAGAATGAAAAAAAACATTTTTAACTTGAAAAATTTATTTTTTTTATTTGTGTTTTTGCAAAAGTGACTCACGGAGGAAACTCAACATGTCTCAAGTTATGAAAATGACGATATTTATTATGATATTGCGAGTAATTTTATCTAAGGCAATTTTATTAAGAATGGTAATGTAAACTTCTTAGATCTCATATAATGGGCTTTTGAATTTGCATGAAAATTCACATAAATTGAATGATTTGTTAACAAGGTACTAACTATTATATAATAATATATTTTATTAAAAAAACATGGTTGATTATTATTCTTCATTTCGAAAATATCTTAAAGAAGAGGTTTTTACCCAATAATACCAAAATATCTTCGAAGCCTCTGAAAAAATGCCAATATTATGCCCAGGGCTCTTTTTACTTTTGTATGTGCAGAATGAATTTGTAAATGTATATATATTGTATTTTTATTTTATTTGACTTTGTAAGCACAATGTTAGGCTAAAATGAATTTTGAAATGTTTATTTTCTCAATAAATTTCATAAGTTTTTACTAATTTTATGTTTCTCTTTCCCTGGGGCCAAAAAAAAGTTTCTACGTTTATTGTACAGTTTTAGAACTTAAGCGTTTTTACTAATAATTAACAATGCCTGCAAGTATAACTAGAGCTCAAAAATCCTCAACCAAAAAAAAAACATTTTATTGTCCATGTTATTTCCCAGTTATATGCTTCTTAAAGGGAGTGTTGGCGAAAAATGAAAGGGGGTACAGGCTTAATGCGATAAAAAAGCGCTTTTGATCAATACTGATCTTACTTCTATCTGCTGCGTCTATAAGGAGATAATTGTCAAAAATGACTCGCACCAAAGAACGCAGCGTCCATACAAATTCGGAAAGATGCTACATTCAACTCAGATCGTAAACAAATCAATTTAATTCCAAACAAATCATTCAGATATTACAAACAATAGTCATCGATTATTTTTCTTGAAAATATGTTTAAAAGTGATATTAATCTTCGATTATATATTATATAATTGAATTATGTTTAATTCTTTCTGTTTTTCATGTGAAGGTGTTGATCTTAACCCCCCCTCCAATTTCTATAACCCCCTTCCCTCCCAACTCCTGTTAATTTTTTTAAGACCATTCAAACAGCTATGCTAGCTAAACTACTGTTAACTATAGACAGAAGTAGAAGGCAAAATTTATTCGACACTACTGGTACGACTTTGTGACCTTGTAGCTCCTCTAGTTTTAACTTTAGACACAAGTATGAGGAAAGAAAGACACAAGTATGAGGAAAGAAAGAAAAAGATTTATTAGACATTCAAAACATTTTTGTTCTTCTCAATATCTTTTTTAATAAAAGGAGTTATGACGGGGAAACATGAATCAGATTTTAACCATATTTACAATCAGTTTGAAGTTATAGCTACTGTTTCCTCCTTGACAAGAAAAAATCTTTTATAAACTTTAACACGATTTCATTAATAAATAGCAAAATAAAATTAAAGGTGTTTAATCAATAAACATATTACAACTTCGTAAATTAGCTCATTACAATTTTACTGTTTAGTCAAACATGTTTTTATTTTTTTTACATTTTTGTAAAGATAACTAAACATATTGTAATGTTGGACACACTGTATGGTTTATAAGGGATACAAATATATTGTTGGCTACTGATAATATTTGTGACATGAATTGATTGTTTAGTGGTCTGTGTCAACTTCCAAGAATAGAATGTTCTAGAAGAAAAAAATTGAATTTTTTTATTTTTAAATTCTTTTCTAACAAAGTTGAGAATATATATTGTGATTTTGAACTTGTCAATTTAAAAATTTAAATTGATTTTATCTTTTTTAATCAAAATAACTTTATTTTAATGAAATTGGATAATTTCTAACAGAAAGAAATGATATAGCATGCAGTTTGAATTTAAAACAAAACTGTTTAGGACACCCAGTATAATTGATATAAATTTTAGTTCAGAAAATATCTTGGTTGTCTACTTGAGAAAATAATACAGGGTATTCTGAAAAATGGCCAAACGTTTTGGAAACTTGCAATAGCTTGATATCTGAGAATTAGATGAGATGTAATGTCATTAAATGAAGGGAAAAAAATAACTAGTACATATTTTTTTGTCTTTCGTTTTAAAACTTAATTTTAAATGAATTAAATAAGAAAAGAAAATAGAAACTTTATTCTTGACTTATAGCTTGAAGAAGGATAAGATGGCGGGAGAATATTCATGCCGCGGAAATTTACAATCTTGGCACGTGTCGCCTGACAGCTGAATCTTATGGAGAAATTAAATAGATTGATGAAGGGGCCGGGAGGGGGGACTGATATACACATTATACATTATACAGGGATAAAGGATTTCCATTTGGGAGAGGGAATTATTCGTTGTGTTAAAATATTGAATAAAATTTAAATTCCATAAATTTTATGGGGTAAACTAAACTATTTTGGAAAAGACTAAAATTGAAGGGAAAACAAACTTTAATATAGAATAAAGGAGTACTTTTTGATGCTTCTTGAAAATATTATATCAGAAAATATAATTGTGTCAGATTTTAGATTTGATATTATAATTCTTAAAATTGCAAATCAAACCATTTTAAATCATTTAACATATAGAATAATTGCAATTAAAAAACAGTTGCAAAACTTTTTTTAAATATAAAATGCTAAAGTTTATTTCCCCAATCCGTTTTGCGATATATAGAAAGATAATTATTCTAACCACGGCTAGTTCTATGACTATCTGTGACACAACACCTAAATCAAATTGGTTAAAGTTGATCCCGACAGGGCATAAGAGAACTAGTTCGACTAATTCTTTTACGATCAGCATAGAAAAATCTGCTTTAAAGTCTGCCCGATGAAAACAGTAAATCTGCAAAAATGTTATGTCTTTAGTAAAAAAAGAGCGAAAGATGTTCAGAAGTATTACTAAAAAAAAACTAAATTACGTTAAACCAAAAATAGAGCAACGTATTTTGTGCAATTACCCCTTATAAGCTTGCAAGTCGAAGCTGTTTAAACAAATTGATGAAAAACTTTCAGAGTTTTCTAGATTTCAGAGATAAGTATGTTAAATTAATGTTAAGCATCCTGTAAACCTTGTACTTTACATTGCGTAAATCGAAAATATGTTAATCTAATATTGTTGGAAATTTTCACAACTTCTTCTTTGAAATCAACTTTTATGAAATAATTTAGAAATCTTATTTTGAAATTTCGTATTCGATTTGGAAACAGTTAAAAAGATTTCAGAATAAAAGTTGCTTCATATTAAACCAAAATATGAAAAATTTAATTACAAATGAATTTATGCAAAGTTGAAATAGTTCAAAGGTTTAAAGTCTTTATTTTGAGCAAACAATGACATTTGTTGAGAAATAAATATGAAAACCGTTACATATATAAATCACGCACCTCTGACCCTTCAGCAAAAGTAAATTCAACCTAAAGTCTGACCGCGTCAACCTTGTTGCACCGGCTAGTCCTATTGAGTGTCTGCTTTATTAACCCAATGTCCGGGTGA